CGACCGGGACCCGCGCTGCGCGCCGCGCGACCGCACCACCACGCGACGTGCACCGCCCGCGCAGGCTCTCGGCCTTCGCGCAGGGCAAGGGCGCCCACGCGCCCGAGAACAAGGGCAAGGGCGGGCGCGCCGCCCGCGTCCTCCGCGCGCGCCGCGCCGCGCCGCGCGACCGGGACCGGCGCCATGCGCCGCGCGACCGCACCACCACGCGACGTGCACCGCCCGCGCAGGCTCTCGGCCTTAGCGCAGGGCAAGGGCATCCACGCGCCCGAGCACTCGCGCGCGCAGCTCGACGCGTCCGGCGAGCCGCTCGTCCCCGCGGAGGTGCGCGAGAACAAGCGCCTGGACGGCATCGTCAACCGCGAAGCCATGAAGATCCTAGGGGAGAAGATGTCGAAGGACGAGCGCCTCGAGAAGTTCGAGACCGTCTCCGACCGCGTCGCGCTGAAACTGTCGGAGGACCAGCGCATCCAGATCCTCAATCCCATCTGCGACCGAATCCGGCACCTCGCGCTCAACAAGTGCGAGGGGACGGCGGGCGACAAGGCCTCCCGCGAGCTCGCCGACGCCCTCGCGGAGAAGATGCGCAAGGACGTCGGCGAAGTCCGCGACATGTACCCGAAGCCCGAGCCGCGGAAGCGCAAGGCCGCCGCCGCGCCCGCGTCCGCGACGCCGAGCTTCGCGGCGTCGGCCTTCGGCGCCACGGTGTCGCCGCTGCCGCTGACGTTCCTGTACGTCACGCGCGATGGCTGCTGGGAGATCTACGGCGACGCCTGGGGCCGCCGCTACCGCCGCAGCCGCTTCTCGGGGGATGGCTACCGGCTGTAAGGTCGGCGCTCGAGTTGTATGGGGCCATGTTTGAGCCCACCATGCTTCGGCCGAGCCATAGCGCGCTCGGCAACGTCCTGATTTTGTTCATATTTCCCTCTTCCTCAGCGGCGTCCTCGTCTTCTGCATCGACGCGGCCGCGGGCCGCGGTTCTTCAACCTCGACGCTTCTTTTTGTTCCTTTCCCGCCCGCTGGCCGGCGGGTGTCCTCTTCGGCGTGCGCCCTCGGCCTCCATTCGTGGTCCTCGAGGTGAATCGGGTTGGTCCACCCGGAGTTCCTGCTCGTTTGCGTGCGAGTGCCCTCGTTCTCAACCTCCCCCGGTCCACGGCGAGTCCGTTGAGTGTCGTCTGATGAGGCGACTCAGGAGCTGCCGCCCCGCGCCTGCTCGGTCTGGTTCCCTCCGCGGGGGTCCCTCCGCGGACCTGCCTCCCCTCCCCGGACGGACGCAGTCGGGCGCGCATCCCCTTCAATAACTTGGTCAACGTCGACTGCTTTGCCCCACACGACGAGATGGCTCTGCGATGATGATGCCGCCCCGTTGGTGGTGGCTGCCGCTCGCGCTCGCGCGCCACGGCCCGCCGCCGCGGCCCGTCGCCGACGACGCGTCCGGTCGCTGCCCCGCGCCGCGCAACTGCAGCGCGCCGCCGGCGGCGACGGGCGCCGTGCACGTGATGGCGAGCAAGGCCGGCTGGGGCGGCCACGACAACTACTACCACTACTTTTACGGGCGGCTCGTGCCCCTGCTCCACTGGTTCGCGGCGACGGCGCCGGGCCGCGGCGACGCGGTCGTCGTCAACGACGCGGACATCCGGCCGCGCGAGCTCTGGACGCCCTACCTGCTGGAGCGCGTGCTCGCGCCGCACCTCTGCCGCGCGGCGCCGCCGCGCGTGCTCCACCTCGCGCAGGGCCGCAACGACAGCGCGATCGCCGCGGCGCTGGCGGCCGCGGGCCTGCCCGTCGGCGACGTGCGCGTCCACGCGTTCCAGGTCGGCATGGACGTGTCCATGTACGGCTGCGGGTCCCTGGGCGCGGCGGCGAAGGCGACCCTCGCGGCGCAGATCGACGCCGCGCGGCGCCTCGCCGTCGCCGCCTGCGGCTGCTGCGCGAGGCGGGCCGGCGACGCGCTCGTCGTCGCCGTCCTCGAGCGCCACGAGGGCCAGCGCTTCTCCAAGGGCGGCCCGCGGACGGTGCCGAACCTCGGCAACGTCGCGGCGGCCCTGCGCGCGCGCGCGGCCGCGTGGGCCTCGGAGCTCGGCGCGGCCGTCGACGTCGTCCACGTCGAGTTCCAGGCCATGAGCCACTGCGCGCAGTGGTGCGCCGTCGACGGCGCGGCCGTCGTCCTCGGCCAGCACGGCGCGGGCCTCGCGAACGCGGCCTTCCTCCGGGGCGGACACGCGGGCCTCGTCGAGATCGCGCCCGAGCCCATGGCCTTCAAGACCCTGTTCCACTGCGTCGCGGGCCTCCGCGGGAGCCACTACGGCCGCGTGCTCCAGGACTCGGCCACGGCGCCCGTCGACGTCGACGCGACGGCGGACGCCGTCGAAACCGTGCTGCGGCGCGCGGCGGCCAACGCGACGCCCGCGGACCGCTACCCGGGCACGAAGCTCAGCGCGCACATGCGGACGCACTGCGCGCCGCGGCGCGAGGCCCTCCGCGCGGGCTTCAGCCCCGGCTGGCGGCGGCGGATCGCGTGCTAAAAACCCTCGCGGCGCGGCGATGGTCGCGCGCGGCGTCGCGCGCTCCCAAAAACCCCTTACTTGTGGCGCCCCTGGCTCTTCCGCGCGGCGTCGATCATGAGGCGGTGGAACGCGCCGTAGTCGTCGAGGGCCTGGACCGCGCGGACGAAGTCGCCGTAGTTGTCGTCCTCGAAGAGGAAGCCTTCGCCGCCGTCGAGCGCGTCCCGCACGTCGCGCATGAAGAGCTCCGTCGTGCCGCCGTTCTTCGCGACGATCGCCGTGAGGATCTCGTCGACGATGTCCTTGTAGTCGTCGTGGACGCGCGCCCACCGGTCCATGGCCTTGATGGGCGAGCCCGCGCCGGTCGCGTCGCCGTCGGCCGCGTCCAGGAAGTCCGCCGCGTTGGCGGCGACGAAGCGGCTCAGCTCGCTCTCGGGGCCGAAGAGGTGCGTCGCCGCGTCGACGGCGACGAGCATGAGCAGCTCGTTGCGCTCGAAGTCGGGGTCGGCGCCCTTGGCCTCGCCGCCCTTCGACTCGTCGTCCTTGCTCTCGCTCCGCGGCATGGCGGCGCTCCGCGGCGCGTCGGCGCGGCAGCCTGTCTGGGCAGCGCGGGGGCAGCGTCAAACATGGGTTTTGAATCATCAATGAAATGTTCAATGAGGTGATTGAATAAGCATGGGCTGGGTCGGATAACCGGGCTGCCATAAGAGACCCGCACGGCGAGCGGCCGACCGCGAGCTTCTCGACCACAGCTGCCCGGTTCCACCGCAGGATGATGGGCCCGCCGAAGGCGGCGGCCAAGGCCGCCGTCGCGTGCCACCTCTGCGGGGCCGTCGTGTCCGCGCACTCGGCGGCCTGCCGCGGGTGCAAGCTGGTCTACTGCGGGTCCGCCTGCCTCCGCGAGTCGCGCGACGGCGGCCACCGCGACGTCTGCGACGCCGTATCCTCCGCGGCCGCGGCGGCCGCGGCGGCCGCGGCGGACGTCGAGGCGCGGTGCTTCGTCGAGGGCGGCGCTTGCCACGTCTGCGGCGAGGCCGCGGACGCTCCCGTCGTGCGGTGCTGCGCCTGCGACCGGGGGACCGCGCACGTCGCGTGCCTCGTCGCCGCGGCGAGGGCGGCGACGGACGGCGCCGGGTCCGCGGAGGGCTGGGTCGCCTGCGCCGGCTGCCGCCGGCCCTTCTCGGGCCCGCTCCGCCTCGCGCTCGGGCGGGCGTGCTGGCACGCCTACGCCCGCCGGCCGGAGGCGGACCCGGCGTCCGCGGCCGCGCTCCAGGTGCTCGCGAACGCCGTCGCCGAGCCGGGCCCCGGCTTCGCCACGAAGGAGCTGGCCGGGGAGGCGCTGCCGCTCCGCCGCGCCGCCCTCGCGTTCGCCGAGCGCCACTTCCAAACCCCCGAGGCCTGCGTCCTCGACGCGGCGACGGGCCTCGCGGCGGCGCTGACGGCCGCCGGCGACTTCGCGGAGGCGCTCGCGCTCCGGCGCCGCGTGCTCGAGCGGCGGCGCGCGGCGCTCGGCGACGACGCGCCCGATGCCCTCTTCGCGACGCTCTGCCTGTCGACGGCGCTCGCGGACTGCGGCCTCCGGGCCGAGGAGCGCGCGCTCCTCAGCGACGCGGTCCCCGCAGCGACGCGCGCGCTCGGCGCGACCCACGCGACGACGATCGCGCTGTCCTACGGCCTCGCCGTCAACCTCTACGTCGGCGACGGCGACGAGCGCGCGCCGACCCTCTCGGAGCTGCGCGAGAGCGCGGACCTCCTCGCCGGCGCCGCCGCCGCCGCGGAGGCGTCGCCCGACTACGGCCGGCACCACGCGTCGACGCGCGTCGTCCGCGCGGCCCTCGAGGCCGCGCGGGACGAGCTCGACGACCGCGAGCGCCGCCGCGAGGCGAGCGACGCGCCCCGCCAGGAACTAGTCGGCCTCCCTAAGTAGATAGCTTTAGGATTGAGCAATCGATTTTGAGCGATTTTGCCTCGGCGCTCGCCCGATCGGAGGCCCGACGCGGGCACGAGACGAGGAGACGATCGGCGCTCAAGTGACCAAACGCGCTCAGAGTCATGTCGTGGCGGGAGAAGAAGTTGGAGTATGAGAATCGCATGGCCCGAGCGAAGGGCAAAAAACTCGACACTCTCAAGACCTGCACGATCTGCGGCGCCGACAAGGCCAAGGCTTGCAAAGGGTGCGGCACGACGGCCTACTGTTCGACGGACTGCCAACGCATCGACTGGCGCGACCGGGGCCACCGGAAGGTCTGCAAGAAGATCCAGGCCGCGGAGGCGGCGAGGGCGGAAGCTCCGACGCGCCCGCCGTCGCCGCCGCGGGACGTGTTCTACGGCCCCGCGCCGCGGTCGCACGCCGACGAGATCCGCGCGCGCATCGCGGCGGAACACGAAGCCGCCCGGGCGCGGCGCGAGGCGAACCCGGAGCGGGACCCGACGTCGGCGCGGTTTGGGTCGCGGTGCCCGATCTGCATGGAGGACTGGGATGTGAATACTCCGAGCATGCTTCGCATCTGTTGCTGCCGGACGGTCTGCGAATCGTGCCAGGACAAGATCGGCACCGGCGCGTGTCCCCTCTGTCGTTTACCGTGCCCAAAAAACGAGGCGGAAGACCTCGCGCGTCTGCGCCGGCATGTGGAGAACGAAGTGCCTGAAGCGATTACGCATTTGGGAGACTCGTACCAGGAAGGTTGGTACGGCCTCGTGAAATCCGATAAGAAAGCCGCGAAAATTTGGAAGCGCGCCGTGGAGCTCGGAGACGTGGAGGCGATGGTATCTCTTGGGGAATTGCACCAGCGTGGAAGTGCCGTCAAGCTGGACAAAGAGAAGGCGGAGCGGCTGTTTCGCATGGCCGCAGACCGGGGCGACGCGTGCGCGCAATCAAGTTTAGGGCTTTTACTTCACTCTGAGGAGAAACATGAAGAAGCATTCCGGTACGTCGCGCTCGCGGCGGATCAAGGCAGAACCTCTGCAGAGTCCAACCTTGGCGTTTGTTACAGGGACGGAGAAGGCACGGAAGTCGACCTCGGCAAAGCCAGATACTGGTTCGAGCGCGCCGCTGCCAAGGGCTCCGAGCAAGCGACAAAGAACCTCGCGCGCCTCGACGCGCAAGTATAGCCTAAGTCTTCACGCAACGTCGTCGCCCGAGCCCGAGCTGCTGCGCTTGCGCGCGGGCGAGCTCGTGCTTGGCCTTGGCGTCGTCGTCGACCGCGTTCCGCCCCGCGCCGACCTTCGCGGTCTGGTGCGTCGCGTTCTTGAACGCGAAGCCCGCCGCAAGGACGACGACGCCGCCAAGGGGGGCATGGAGAACGACATGAGCGCGATGCTCTAGGGGTGGGCTTTAGGCCGGGGGGTAAGATTTTGAGCGATTTTGCCTTGCCGATCGAGGCCAGACGATCGACGAGGAGACGATCGCCGCGCTCGAGTGACCAAACGCGCGCAGAGTCATGTCGTGGCGGGAGAAGAAGTTGGAGTATGAGAATCGCATGGCCCGAGCGAGGGGCAAAAAACTCGACACTCTCAAGACCTGCACGATCTGCGGCGCCGACAAGGCCAAGGCTTGCAAAGGGTGCGGCACGACGGCCTACTGTTCGACGGACTGCCAACGCATCGACTGGCGCGACCGGGGCCACCGGAAGGTCTGCAAGAAGGTCCAGGCCGCGGAGGCGGCGCGGGCGGAAGCGCCGACGCCCCCGCCGTCGCCGCCGCGGGACGTGTTCTACGGCCCCGCGCCGCGGTCGCACGCCGACGAGATCCGCGCGCGCATCGCGGCGGAACACGAAGCGGCCCGGGCGCGGCGCGAGGCGAACCCGGAGCGGGAGCCGCTCTCGGCGCGGTACGGGTCGCGGTGCCCGATCTGCCTCGAGGAGTGGGACGTGAATAATCGGGGCGTGTTTCGCACCTGCTGCTGCCGTAGGGTCTGCCGATCGTGCGAGGACAAGATCGGCATCGGCGCGTGTCCCCTCTGTCGTTTGCCGTGCGCGGAAAACGATGCGGAGCAGCTCGCGCAACTTCGCCGCCATGTGGAGAACGAGGTGCCGGAAGCAATTACGTGTTTGGGAGACGCGTACCACATCGGTCGGTTGGGCCTCGTGAGATCCGATAAGAAAGCCGCGAAGATTTATCGGCGCGCCGTGGAGCTCGGCGACGTGGATGCGATGATATTTCTTGGGGAATTTTACGAGCATGGAAGTGGCGTCAAGCTGGACAAGAAGAAGGCGGAGCGGCTGTATCGCGCGGCCGCAGATCGGGGCGACGCGGCCGCGCAAAACAATTCAGGGATTTTACTTTACCATGAGAAGAAATTTGAAGAAGCGTTCCGGTACGTCGCGCTCGCGGCGGATCAAGGTTTAACCGCCGGAGAGAATAGCCTTGGCGTGTGTTACAGGGACGGAGCCGGCACGGAAGTCGACCTCGGGAAGGCCAGATACTGGTTCGAGCGCGCCGCTGCCAAGGGCTACGAGAGGGCTATAAAGGCCCTCGCGGCCCTCGACGCGCAAGCATAGCAGCCTAAGTCTTCACGCCGCGTCGTCGCCCGAGCCCGAGCTGCTGCGCTTGCGCGCGGGCGAGTCGTGCTTGGCCTTGGCGGGGTCGTCTTCGCCGCGTTCCTCTCCGCGCCGACCTTCGCGGTCTGGATTCTGGCGTTCTTGAACGCGAAGCCCGCCTGGCGCAAGGACGACGACGCCGCCGAGGGGGGCATGGAGAACGACATGAACGCGATGCTCTAGGGGTGGGCTAGGCCTGGGGGATTCTCAGTTTGAGCGATTTTGCCTCGCGCATCATGCGACCAGGTGGTGAGGAGAGGCAAAAGTGTCGCCCGCGCGCCGCCCCGCAAACGATCATGAAGGCCGAGTACGTCGAAAAGCAGCGCGAATACGAAGAGAAGAAGGCGCGGGCGAAGGCGCTACAGCTGCGTTTGACGTGCACGATTTGTGGGGCGAAACCGAGAACCTTGCTGAACTGTCCGTGCGGAACTACACAGTATTGTTCGACTGAATGCCAACGCATCGACTGGCGCGACCGGGGCCACCGGAAGGTCTGCAAAAAGATCCGTGCGGAGCGGGCGGCGGAGGCGGCGCGGGCCGAGGCGCCGCCGTCCCCCCCGAAGCCCGTCTTCTACGGCCCCGCGCCGCGGTCGCACGCCGACGAGGTCCGCGCGCGCATCACGGCGGAACACGAAGCCGCCCGGGCGCGGCGCGAGGCGAACCCGGAGCGGGAGCCGCTCTCGGCGCGGTACGGGTCGCGGTGCCCGATCTGCCTCGAGGAGTGGGGCGTGAATGCGACGAACGTGTTTCTCACCTGCTGCTGCCGGAGGGTCTGCCGATCGTGCGACGTCAAGATCGGCGCCGACGCGTGTCCCCTCTGTCGGATACCGCTCGCAAAAAATGATGCGGAAGACCTCGCGCGTCTCCGCCGCCATGTGGAGAACGAGGTGCCGGAAGCGATTGCGTTTTTGGGAAGTGCGTACCATCAGGGGTTGTTTGGCCTCGTGACATCCGATAAGAAAGCCGCGAAAATCTGGAAGCGCGCCGTGGAGCTCGGAAGCGTGGAGGCGATGACCAAACTTGGGGAATTGTACGAGAATGGAAGTGGCGTCAAGCTGGACAAGAAGAAGGCGGAGCGGCTGTATCGCATGGCCGCCGACCGGGGCGACGCGTTCGGACAAAACAAGGTAGGGCTTTTTCTTGATTCTGAGGAGAAATTTGAAGAAGCATTCCGGTACTACGCGCTCTCGGCGGATCAAGGCCATAGCCCTGGAGAGAACAACCTTGGCTGCTGTTACCAGCACGGAGAAGGCACGGAAGTCGACCTCGGAAAAGCCAGATACTGGCTCGAGCGCGCCGCTGCCAAGGGCCACGAAAGAGCTATAGAGAACCTCGCCGACCTCGACGCGCAAGTATACTAGTAGCAGCCTAATCCTTTTACGCCGCGTCGTCGCCCGAGCCCGAGATGCTGCGCTTGCGCGCGGCCCGGGGCGAGTCGTGCTCGGCCTCGGCGTCGTCGTCGCCGCGTTTCGCTCCGCTCAACGTTCCAGAGCGCGACGCTTCCTCTAGATAGAAGGACGCATGCGCGAGCCCCGCTCCCTTGACAGGTAAAAAGGCCCGCGGGCTAGGAGTACCGCGGGGCCCGCTCCGCGCCGGGCGCGGCGCTCCGCCCCTTGCCGCGCCCCTTGCCGCCGCGCCCCTTGCCGCCGCCCGAGCGGCCGCGGCCGCGCGCGTCGCCGCCGTGGGTCCGCGGCGCCGCGGCATGGCGCGCGCCGGGCAGCGGGCCGAGCGTCATCGGCGGCGGCGGCGGCGGCGGCGCGGCGCCGCCGATGAGCCGCGGGAGCGCGTGCGCGTAGAGGGCCTGCGCCGCGGCGCCGTGGTCGTCGCCGTGGTCGTCGTCGATGGCGTGCGCGAGCCCGTGGAGGATCTCGGTGACGATGTAGGGCGCGTCGGAGCGGGCCGCGAGCCGCGGCCGCGAGAGCACGAGGCACGCGTCGAGCACGAAGGGGCACCGGTCGACGTCCGCGACGGCGACGGCGCGCGACGGCACGGCGAGCGCCGCGAGGAGGGGCCGGAGCACGGCCGCGAGGGCCGCGAGGTCGTCGGGCGGGCCGCCGACGCCGTCGAGGGGCCGGCCGCGGACCGCGAGCGCCTCCGCGCGGCCGCGCTGCACCGCGCGGATCGCCGCGACGGCCAGGTCCTCGGTCGCCGCCGGGGCCGCGTCCGCGCCGCCCCGCAGGTCGTCGGGCGCGAAGCCCTGCTGCACCGACGGCGGCGGCGCGCCGCCGGGCGCCGCGGCGGCCGCGGCGGCCGCGGGCGGCGGCGCGGCGGCCGCGGCGTCGAGCGCGTCCTCGCCGAGCGCGGCGGCGACGCCGACGACGTCGACGAAGAAGCTTCGCAGCGCCGCGTCGTGGTGCGCGGCCAGCGCGAAGGCCGCCGCCGCGCCGTGGCGCAGCGCGGGCGCGACGTCCCAGAACGCCTCCGTGGACCGCAGCGCGACGAGCTGGCCGCGGCGGCCGGCGACGAGCGCGAGGCGCGCCGCGAGGAACGCGTTGGCGACGGCCGCGCGGTCCGCGGCGCTCGACGCGCAGAGGCCCGCGAGGCGCGCGTAGCACGCGGCCGCGACCGCGACGAGGTCGCCCGGTTCGCCGTCGGCGCGGCCGGCGCCGATCGTCGCGAGCGTCGCGAGGAAGTCGCGGGCCTTTCCGAGCCGCGGCTCGACGCCGAGGCGCGCGAGCGCGGCCTCGCAGCCGTGGGCCGCGTAGCGCGGCGCGAGGCGCGTGGCCCCCGCCAAAGCGCAGAGCCGCTCGTCGTCGTCCCAGACGCAGTTCGACGCGAGCGCGAGCCGGAGCGCGCCGCCCTTCTCGCCGTCGACCAAAACGCAGGCGTCGTCGCGCCGGTCCGCGAGCGCGCCACACCGGTTGTAGAGCGCCGCCGCGGACGCGAAGGCCGCGCGCGCGTCGCCGCCGGCGGCGGCGAGGACGCGGAGCGCCGCGAGCGCGTCGCCGGCGTCGGCGGGGTCGCCGCGCGCGAGCGTCGCGACGACGGCGCGCGTCGCCCGCGCCGCGGCCGCGCCGAGGCCCGGGTACGCGTCCGCGCCGCCGCCGTCGTCGAAGAGGTAGGGCAGCGCGACGCCGCACAAGGGCGCGAACGCGTCGCGGAGGAAGTGGTCGCGCACCGCCAGCACGTCGCTCCCGCCTTTTCGCGCGCGCGCGGGCGCGGCCCGCGCGATCGCGAGCGTCGCCGCGTCGCCGAGGCGGTCGGCGACGTAGTCCAGCGCCGCCGGCGACAGGCCGCGCCACCAGGCCGCGGACGCGAGCGCGGCGCCGAGCGCGACGAGCACGTCCGGCCCCGCGGCGTCCGCTATCGCGCGCGCGACGCCGAGGCGGTCGAGGTGCGCCTCCCACTCGACGGCCGGCGCCGTCGGCGGCGGCTCGGCCGCCGTCGTCGAGATCGCGCGCTCGTCCGGGAGCGCCGCCGCCGCCGCGCCGCCGCCGTCGAGGAGCGCGGAGATCGCGCCCGCGACGTCGTCCGGGAGCAGGACGCGCGCGCCGAAGAGGGTCGCCGAGACGAGGGACGCGGCCGGCGCCGCGCGGCCCGCCGCGGCGGGCACGCGCAGGGTCGACGCGCGCCCGTCCGCGAGGCAGCGCGCGGCGAGGTCCGCGTCGTCGGCCCACGCGCGCCGGAGGAGGTCGAGCGTCTCCCAGCCGCCGCCGCCGTCCGCCGCCGCGGCGTCGAGCGCGAAGTCGACGGCGTCGGCGTAGGAGAGCGCCGCGCGGACGCCGAGGCGCTCGAGGAGCCGGCGCCGCGCGGCGCCGCCGCCGGGCGCCGCGCGGTAGACGCGGCCGTTGCCGCGCGCGCCGCGGAAGCAGGGGCCGTCGAAGGCCCACAGACCGTCGGCGAGCGCGCGGAGCGGGCCTCCGCCGTCCGCCGCGACGATTCGTAGTTTGCGGATCCGCGGCCAGAGCTCCGGCTCCGCGTCGAGGAGCGCGGCCCAGAACGCGTCGCTCGCCGCCGCGGCCGCCCTCTCGTCCCCGTCGGCGTCTCCGGCCCAGGCGACGAGGTCGCCGAGCGCGAAGCGCGGCGCCGCGGCCGTCGCGACGCGCGCGAGGCGGCGCCCGCGGACGCGCGCGCCGGGCCCCAGGAGCGCGACGGCCGCGCGGAGCGACGAGCCGGCCTCCGGGTAGCGGAAGACCTCCGCGGGCGCCGCGAGGGACCCGTCGTCGCAGCGGCAGCAGGCGACGTCCGCGAGCCGCGCGGCGACGTCGGCCCGCAGCGCCGCCCAGAAGGGCGGCTCCGCGCGGTCCTCGCTGCCCAGATAGTCGAGCGCGCGGCCGCGGAGCTCGTCGGACGACGCGACCGCCGCGGCGAACGCGTCCGCGACCGCGGCGCGGAGCGCGACGTTGTTCGCCGTGGCCCGGAGCGCGGCGCGCGACGCGACGAGGTCGAAGGGCGCCGACAGGCTGAACCCGAAGGACGCGGGGAGCGGCGCGACGGGCAGCACCGCGTGGTAGAACGCGGGCCGCTCGGGCCCGCCGGCGCGGAACGCGGCGGTCGCGCCGGACGATCCGAAGACGTCGTACGCGGCGGCGGCGCCCGCGGTCGCGACGGCGACGCGCGACGCCCCGGGCCCGCGCGTCGCCGTCCAGGTCTCGCGGCGCCTCGGCCTCGGCGGCCGCGAGCGCCGCGCGCGCGTCGCCGGCGTCGCCGTCGGCGAGCGGCAGGGCGACGACCGTGCGCCCCGCGCGCCAGCGGTCGACGACGTCGCCGGGCGGCGCCGGCGCGCCGTCGGCGCCGTCGAGCTCGAGCCAGCGCGGCGCGACGAGGCCCAGCGCGCCGTCGCGCGCCGCGTCGAAGTAGAAGGCGAAGCCGTTGGAGAGCACGCAGGGCCGGTCGCACATGGCGAAGACGGCCTTGAAGCCGATGCCCTTGTGGCCCGTCGTCGCCGCGTCGCCGGCCTTCGTGGACGCGTTGACGTCGCAGATCGCCCGCACGTCCGCGGCGTCGAAGCCCGGGCGCTGGTTCGACGAGGCGAAGAACCAGGACCTGCGATTCAATCGAAAAGTGTGCGTCTTCGGCCATCTTGTGCCCTCCGCGGAGCACTCATTCGGAGAAACCGACCCGTCCAAAAATCAGCCGAAACGACTTCGATCTGCGGAAGTTTGGCTTTCCCGCGCGGCCTGGGACCCGCTCAGGCCGACCTCGAGCGCCGGCGCATCGACGCCGTCGTGCCGCGCGTCGTCGGCGTTCTGGAAGAGCTCGTGGAGGAAGTGGTCGCGGTGCTCGTAGAGGTCCACGGAGAGGCGCTCGGCCGCGGCGGCGAGGGACCGCTGGAGGCCCCGGGCGCCGGAAGCGACGGCCGCGGGGCAACCGGACAGGTCGACGTCGACGAGGCGCGACGCGCGGATCGCGTCGACGGCGCCGCGCGGCGTCGCCGCGGCCGCGGCGGGCGCGTCCGGCCCGGCGCGGGGGGCCGCGGGCGCGCCTTCGCCGCGCTTCGACCGCGCGTCGCGCGTCCGCGCCTCGGCCGCGGCCGCCGCGAGCGCGTCCTCGAGCTCGGCGACGCGCGCGGCCGCGGCCCGCGCGGCGACCGCCGCGGACTCCTCGAGCGCCGCGTACTTGGCGGCGGCCGCGGCGCAGCGGCTCACGGCGTCGGCGCGGGACCATTCGGCCGCGCGCTCGAGCGCGTCCGGCCGCGCGCGCTCGAGCGCCGCGAGGAGCTCCGCGCTCTCCGCGCCGCGGCGCAGGTCGCGGCGGGCGGCCTCGCCGTCGCCGCCGGCCGCGGTTATGTTGTCGTCGCCGTCGCCCGCGAGCGCGCGCCACGCCGCGGGCCGAAACGCGCCGCGCGCCTTCAGCGCCGCGTCGACCTCGGCGACGCAGAGTTGGCGGAGGCCGCCGCGCGCGGCCGCGGCCGCGAAGGCGCGCGACCGCGCGGCCGCGGCCGCGAAGGCGCTCGGCGCCGCGAGCGCGAGCCAGACGACGCAGCCGTTGAAGCGCGCGAAGACCGCGGGCTCGCCGTCGCCGGCGAAGAGCGCGGCGCCGACGTCCGCGCCGTCGCGGACGAGGCGCCGGCAGACCGCGTCGACGAGCGGGCCGGTGCGCGCGAGCCGCGCGAGCGTCGCCGTCGCCTCCGCGCGCGCGGCGCGCGCGTCCGCGGCGTCGCCGGCCGCGAGCGCGCGCTCGAGGCGAGTGGAGGGTTCGAGCACGACCCACGACAGGCGCTCCTCCGGCGGCGGCGGCGGCGGCGCGGGCTTGCCGTCGCCGACGCGCCGCTTCACCTCGTCGACGAAGCCCGTCGGGTTGCGCGCCTTGGCCGCGTTGCCGATGAGCAGCAGCCGCTTCTGGATGTCTGCAGCGGAGAGCTGCGACATGGTCGCTGCTGTGGTTGCAACTGTGGCTGTGCTGTGCTTGCACAGGCCTCACGCGAGCAGGCTGCGCTGCACAGAGGCGTGTCGCGCACACATCAGCTCGTCGAGAGCCAGGCGGGAGATGGCGGGACGATGACAATGTCGCCGGCAAGTCGCCAGCAACGAGCACTTTTTGGTTGCCTCGGAGGGCTGGAAAATCGATTTTTTTTATCGACCTCGCGCGGTGGCCCCGTGTCGCCACCCGTCCAAAGCGTCCTTCAGGGATGTTGGAGCTTGTCTGCGATCATGGTAGCTCGTCGCTAGTGAAAAGTTATGCCCGAAAAACCGAGAACATACGTAGGAAGTACGCCGCGGTCCGCGGACGCCGAAAACGTACTGAAATTTTTTTCTCCGGCTTGGCTCTTCGTTGTTGCCGTCGCTGGACGCGCCGTTTGGGGCGTCCCGAACGACCCTCCAAACCCCCAGGGCCACCGCTATGGACACGCTATGCGCCGCGCAGTTCTCCGGATCTATAGAGGAACTCGGTGGATCCCGCTGCAGACCGCGGACGTGCGGATCACGGTCGTAGGACGTGGATCCAACGCTGAGGCGATGGTGCTGGTGGTAGTAGGAGTCCGTCCAGGCCGTATGGCCAGCGCACGCGCGTATTTCATGGCGCCACAGTGGCCTCGAAAGTGCCTCTTTGGAGAGGACCGGTTTGAGCGCGTTGGCGCGGATCATCCAGCCCAGCGGTCGCGTGAGGCTGCGGAGGCCTCGTCCATGTACCACTCCGCCCGGCCATATCGTTCGAAGTGGTCGGATCGACGCCAGTGGGTCCAAACGCCGCGCTCTAGCGGTTTGGCGCCTGCGAGAACGCCTTGGAGCGAGGGTGTGCCACACAGTCCTGAGTACGCTCGAACCTGACCCAAACTTGATTTTCGGTTCCCCGTGACGTTTCCGGAGGTCGCTGTCGCGAATGGGTCAGGACTCACCGTGGAGATCTCGCGCACCTCGACGACCGACCCACCAAATCGGACGTTCCGGCGCACGTTAGAACGCCGCGGCAGCGAGTCGCGCGACGAAAACTTCACGCGCGCCTTCGAGCAAGGTCTTTGGCCGAGCCCCGGACGGCGCGGCGCGGCCAACGAGCACGCGGAACCGCGCCGACGCGGCTGCCTCGCGCAGCTCTGCGAGGCGCTGTCGTCGTCTCGAGCGTATTTTTTGTCCGACCCTCCGCAGGCAACCAAACACTTCATCACTGTGGCAATTCTTCGTCACAGGGCATAGACGCGCGCACGCGCTGCGCAGCGTCGTCCTCGAGCTTCGGTGGACTAGACAGCAACGGCAAGCGCTCGGTGGACTAGACAGCAACGGCAAGCGCTCCGAGAGCACGAAATCCCATGCTGCACAACAGTAGCATCGCCCTCTGCGTCCTCGGCTTCTTCGGCCGCTTCGGCCAGGCGAAGCGCGTCGCGCGCGTCGGCGCGACGTCTGTCTGCGCCGTCATCTCGCCGGACCTGCCCGGATTTTGCAGCTGCGACACGAAGAAAGCGCTCGGCGGCACCCTGACCTGTTCCGTGAATTTTCTCGACCTCGACACGATCGGCGTCGTCGTCGACATGGAGCCCTGCGCGGACCCCATGAACTTCGACGTCGACGTATGCCGCCCGGCGTCTTGAGTGGCGCGCGCCTTGTATCCTGTCTTTTTCAGGTCACGGAGGCGGACCTCGGCATCGACTACGAGATCGAGAAGCTGACCGCCGGCGAGGACGCGTACGTGCCCGTGCCGGGCCTCTCGCTGGAAGTGCCGGTACTAGGGTCCGCGGGCGTGAACCTCGTCGCGCGCATCACCGGCAGCGTGCAGGAGCTGACGCTGTCCTTCGGCCTGGACGCGTGCGGCAGCGTGCTCGGCGTGGAGACGTGCGGCGCGGACGTGGACCCTTACCGGCTGCCCGTCATGATGCTCAACGAGACCTACGCCTTCGGCAGCGTGTGCGCCGGGCGCGTGGCGGTGGCGTAAGGGATGGTTTTTTTGTGGAGCTGGCGCATCGCGCGTATCGCGCTCGCCTTGGCCGGGGGTCGGCAGCCGCCTGCCGGTCCGCGGCTCGTCGAAGCCACGATCATAGCCTCGTGCCCACTGCAAGTAAATATGGTCGCGCATCCGCGTCTAAGAAGTTGCTATAAGGGACGCCGCATCGCGCGGCCACGCCGCGGCGCCGTCGCATCCGTGCGCGACGACGCTGGCAGGAAAATCCCGCCTTTTCGCGCCGCGCAACCTCGTAAATCGTCGCCGATCTTTAGGCCAAGCTCCTCGTCGCCCTCGCCCTCTGCGGCACCGCGTCCGCCTACGTCGCGCCCGCCGCGCCCAAGGCCGTCGGCGCCCTCAACTCCAAGGCGGAGCTCGAGGCCCTCGCCGAGGGCAACGGCGACTTCCTCGGCTCGACGCTCGGCTTCTGGGACCCGCTCGGCATCAGCGACCAGGACTTCTGGAACCTCGGCAACGAGGGCACCATCGGCTACCTGCGCCACGCGGAGATCAAGCACGGCCGCGTCGCCATGGCGGGCTTCCTCGGCTTCCTCGCCCAGTGCACGCCCATCGTGTCCGGCGAGCACGCGCTCCCGCCCTACCGGGGCTACGTCGCGGGCGTCACGCCCCAGGAGCAGTGGGACAACATCCCCCTCATCGGCAAGCTCCAGATCTTCACCTTCGTGGGCATGCTCGAGTCCTACGGCGAGGGCGCGGGCCAGCCCGACGGCTACGTCCACTACACCAAGGGCGGCCTCCCCGGCTACTTCCCCCCCATCGAGGGCCGCATCGGCCCCTTCCCCATCGGCAACCTCAACCTCTACAAGCCCTTCGACATCTTCCCGGAGCAGTCCGAGGACGAGAAGGCCCGCGGCCGCCAGGTCGAGATCAACAACGGCCGCCTCGCGATGCTCGGCCTCATCTCGCTCCTCACGGAGTCCAACGGCCTCATCGTCCCGCCCCTCGACGGCATCGAGGGCTTCCCCAAGTACGCGGGCAACGTCATGATCCCCTTCTCCGCCGACTTCTCCCTCTACTGAGCGCGGTGGCCGGCCGGTTGGACGCTCGCCGCCTCGCCGCGGCTTACGACGCTCCCGCTCTCTAACCACCCTCTGGACAACGTCGCCCGAGGCGCGCACGTTCGCGTCCGCCATCGGCGGCGCGGCGGCGCGCCCGAGCCGCGCGCGGGACCGTGCTCGCCGCGTCCGCCATCGGCGGCCGCGGCGGCGCGACGCCGGTCGAGAGGGCGGCGGCTCGGCGCGCGCGGGACCGCTGTCCAGGCGCTAGCGCTCGCGCTGCCCTGACGGCTTCTCGCGCCCGGCGAGGCACACACCTCTGAGCGCTTAATCCTCTGGCGGCGCCTCGAGCTTGTCCGCACGGACGAGGCCGAACTCCGCGCGGCACGAGTAGCGGCTCGGCGCGACCGCGTGTTTCTCGCAGACGAGCACCACCGTGGACCCGCCGGACGCCGCGTCGTGCGTCGCCCCCCCGACGCGGCAGAGCGCGCCGACGGCGTCGCTCTCGGGGCCGACGACCAACAGAGGCCGCGCCTCGTCGACGCACTGCTTGATCATCAACTTGTAGCGGCTCTCGAAGATGTTGAAGGTCTTCGCCTCGCCCGGCGCGAAGGGCCCGTTGTCGAGGACGAAGCAGGGCACGTCCTCGTCCGCGGGCTTCGACGGCTCGACGCGCGAGTCCTCGGACGGGAGGAACAGATCGCGCGCGAGGTCCGAGTTGCACCGGAAGTCGAAGGGCGCGAGGTCCGCGAGCGTCGCCGCGAGCATCCTCCGCGACTGCGCCGACAAGTCGGCGAAGGCCGCGCCGGCGAGGGCCGCGGCCGCGCCGGAAGCACTGACCCGCCTCGCGACGACGCACATCGTCCGCGACCCCGGAAACAGGCTCTCGAGCCGGTCGAACGTCGGCTCCGGCGCGTGCGTCGCCGCGAGCACGAACGTCAGCGACGCCGGGTCCGCGGCGAACAATGCCTCGTCCGCGAGCTCGCTCGGCAGCGCGTCGTCCTCCGCGGCGCTCAGGAGCCTCGGCGGCGACTCGAGCGTGAATCGCGTCGCGCAGGCCCAGTCGCGCGGCAGCGCCTCGTCCTGCGACACGTGCACGGCGACGTCGGCGTCCAGCGCCGTCCAGCTCGCCGGCGTCGCGCCGCCGAGGACGAAGGACGCGCCGTCGCCGCGCGGGAGGCCCAGGGCCTCGTTGACCTCCTCCGTGGCCGTCGGCCCGCGGCCCTCGAAGCGCTCGGCGTCGCTGGCGAGCGCGCGGCGCGGGAACCGGCGCGCCGCGGCGCGCAGCGGCGTCGCGAGGCGACGCAGGAGCATGTTGTGCGGGCGGTGTCGCGCGGGCGGTGTCGCGCGGGCGGTGCCGCGGCGTCGAGGTGGTGGGCTGCGTCGAGGAGTCGAGCTTGTTCTGCGCGGCATCTTTGACCAGACTTAAGTACTTTGTGGCAAAACGTGTTTGAGGTGCCGATTCGCTTGCATCGGGGCGCGTTCGCCGCGGGTTGTGTCGCGCTGCCATGGCTGCGCAGCACATCTCCTTCGCCGTGCGCCTCGAGGAACCCGCCGCAACAGACGCCGGCGCCGCGCTGACGCGCGCCTTGAACGCCGACGGCGCGACGGTCGAGCGGACCTCGGAGACGAGCTACGTCGTCGCCTGCGATTTGCCCGACGCGTCCGAGGCCGCGGCGCTGCGCAACCGCGTGCTCAGCGGCGACTACGACCGGCGCGCGTCCGCCGCGCTCGGCGTCGCCGCGAGCGCGGACCGCACGGCCTTCGCGGAGGCCTACGAGGCCGCGCGCTGCGGCTCCGGCGAGACGCTCACGCCGCACCAGCGGGAGGCCCTCGAGGCCTGCGCGGCGGGCGTCGACGTGCACCTCAAGGCGCCCGCGGGCAGCGGCAAGACGCTCTGGGCGCTGCACCGCCTCGTCAACGAACTCAGAGGCGACGCGGGCCTCGCGGTCTTCGTCGCGCGGAATCGAGCGCTCGCGTGCTTCGCGGCGAAGTGGGTCCTCGCGCGCGGCTTGCTGGCGCGGCTCCGCGTGCTCGTCGAGCCCTTTGCCGCGGGCGTCCTCGCGCCCCGGGCGCGCGGCGGCCGCCTCGTGCTCGAGGCGCCGGACGACGGCGCGCGCGTCGCGTACCGCCTCGTCGTCGTCGACGAGGCGCACCACGTCTACGGCGACGACGCGCTCCGCGCCGCCGTCGAGGCGCTCGTGGCGCCGACGACGCGGCGCCTCCTGCTGAGCGACGTCAGCCAGTGCCGGTCGCGCCACGTCTTCTACCCGGCCGTCGCCGCGGAGGCGAGGCTGACCGAGGTCGTGCGCTGCTCGAAGCGCATCGTCGCCGGCGCCATGGCGTTCCAGCTCGGCGGGGAGCAGAAGCTGCTGACGACCTGCGCGCACGACGACGCGGGCCCGCCCCTCAAGAGCTTCCTCTTCGACGCCTCCGGCGACCGCTTCGCCGACTACGCGGCGCGCGTCCGCGACGCGCTCGGTCACGTCGAAAACCAGTTCCCGGGCCTCGGCCTCGACGACCGCGTCGCGCTCGTCGTCCCCGACGAGCCCTTCCGCGCGGCGCTCGAGCGAGCGCTCGCGGGCGACGACGCCTTCGAGCTCGTCGACGCCGCGACGGCCGCGTGCCGCCTCGAGAGGACGTCGGAACGGCCCTGGCTCGTGCTCGACACCGTGGACCACATGGACGGCCTCGAGCGCCTCGTCGTCATCTGCGTCGGCCTCGACGCGAAGATCGACGACGGCTCGGCGGTCGTCGCGCGGCGGTCGCTGCCGGTGTCGAGCGACGGGCGTGGTGTGTTTCGTCGCGCGCGCTTCGCCCGAAACCGCGAAGTCATCCGACGCGCTCGGTAGGTCGCTGCTCTACCGCGCGATGACGCGCGCGCACCTCGTCGTCGTCGTCGTCAACGAGTTCGTCGCCGGCGGCTGGCTCGAGTTCCTCGGGTCCGTGCGCCTCCGCGAGGAGGAGCGCTTCGACGCGGCGACGGAGCTCGCGCGGTCGCGGACGGCGGCGGGAAAGGGTGGTTAACGTCGCTTCAACGTGAATCTTCCGCGCGCGCGCGTTCCGGAAAAAGCATCCACGCTTCGAGAGCGCTCCGAGAGATGATCGCTCGTCCAAGAATCAGCCGAAACGAGTGGAAATCGGCCGAGATAGAAGTCGGGAACGTCGCACCCTTTCGCTGCCCAGGTCGCGGACGGCGGCCGCCGAGGGCGCGGTCCGCGCGGACGTGTCGCGGGCCGTCGTCGCGGCGCTCGGCGGGCCGGCGGCGGACGCCGTGCTCAACGAGCTCTGCGAGGTCGTGACGCGGCGGCTCGAGCGGTCCGGCCGCGGCGCCGCGGACGAGGCCGCCGCGGCCGTCCTCGAGTGGCGCGACGAGACGCGCGCGGCCGCCGCCGCCGTCGCCGCCGCCGCGGGCGCGGACGCCTACGGCGGCCGCGGCGACGCGCCGATCGACGCGCTGGGCGCGGCCGTGGCCCTCGCGCTGCGGAAGCGCGAGGCCGCGCGCGTCGACGTCGCCGCGCGGCGCGCGTACGCGTCGTGGCGCGACGGCCGCCGCGCGGCGCGGGCCCGGGCCTACTTTGCGGACCTGGCGCCGCCGGCCGTCGCGGCCTTCGCCGCGAAGAAGCTCGTCGAGGGCTACGACGACGCGGACTTTGACCGCGGCGCCGACGCCGTCAGGGAGGTCTGGACCGCGGTCGACGCGGAGCTCCGGGAGCGGGTCCGAAACGCGGACCGCCCCGACGGCGACGCGGTCTACGCCGCGGCCGTGGCGGCGTTCTGCGCCGGGTCGCCCGTCGAGGCCGCCGTCGAGGCCGCCGCGCGGAACGCGGACCGCGCCGTCGCCGACGGCGTCGTCGAAGCGGCGGTCGAAGCGGCCATCGCCGCGGAGACGGGCGGCGGCTCCTTCCTCGGCTGGGGCGGCGAGACGTTCGCGCCCCTGAAGCTCGCCGGCCCCGCGGCGACGGAAATCCGCAAGAGCGTCGCCCGTCGCCACGGCATGCTCGACAATCCCGCGCCCGCCGGCGTCGCGCGGACCCGCGCGCCGCCCGGCGACGACGTCGCCAAGGCCGCGGCGAAGCCGGCCTGGGTCGCGAGCGTCGAGGCGTCGGCCCGCGAGTTCCGCAAGATGTGGGCCGCGGCCGAGGACGCGACGGAAACGGCGCTCGCGGCGGCCGCGGACGAGTTCGATTTGGACCTCGGCGCGCACGGCGACCTCTTCGAGGAGGCGACGGTGATGTCCTTCCTCCATTTTTTCAGCGGCGGCACGGGCCCGGACGACGAGGCGGAGCAGGCTCCTTGTTTCGCCCGCCGACTCGTCGAGGAGCGGTGCGCGCGGGAGAACGACGCGTCGGCGCAGGCCGCGCGCGTCGCCGCGGCCGTGCGGGCCGCCGCGGAGGCCGCGGCCGTCGCGCTCGGCGCCGGGGCCCTCGCGCGCCTCGAGGCCCGGGTCCGCCGGCGCTGGCGCGCGGGCGAGGACCTGGCGCGCGCGGCCGCGGCCGCCGTCGAGGCCTACGCGGCGTCCGACGGGCGGGGCCTCGTGAACCAGACGATCTGGGACCCGTCGTCCAACGGCACGCGGCGCGCCGGCGGCGCCCGGGCCGGCCAATTGCTGAAATTCATGCCCTTTGCGGCCGCGAACGACTGCGACGGCTTGGAGACCGACGCGTTCATGTCCGTCTTCGCCTTTTTGCGCTTCGAATCCATCGGCGCGCTGTGCCGCGTGTCGAAGAAGTGGCGGTCCGCCGCGCGGGACCCCTTCTGGAAGCCGGACGTCGTCGTCTACGCCTGGGGCAGCGAGGACACGTCGGGTTTGGGCGCGCCGGCGAAGGCGCCGACGCTCCTCGACTTCTCGCTCTCGCGGACGATCACGTCCGTGGCCTGCGCGGACGCGGCGACGCTCGCCGTCACGCTCGACGGGGCCGTCTTCCACTGGGGCCGGTCCTGGGAGCCGGACCTCTCCGGCGACGGCGCCTCCGGCGGCGCTCCGACGCCGACGCGGCTCCCGGAGCTCCGGGACGTCGTCGCCGTCGCCTGCACGCCGTCGGGCTACTACCACGGCCGGGGGCGCGCCCTGGGCTACAGCTGCGCGGCGCTCGGGCGAGGGGGCGACCTCTTCACCTGGGGCAACAACGTCTGCGGCCAGCTCTTGCAGCCCGTCGCGCCGCGGGGGTCGCGCGACCCGAACGACTACTTCGCGAAGCGGCCGACGCGCGTGGCCTACGAGCCGCACCTGGACGTCGCGCGGACGCTCAAGGTGGCGCTGGGGCTGGAGTACGTCGCCGTGCAGTACGAGGCGCGGGGCGGCGCGCGGCGCGTCGCGTGGGCGGGCCGCTTCTCCGACAACGCGCGCCCCCGCGCGCTCGAGGCCGCGCGGGAGCTCGACGGCGCCGAGCTGCGGTCGCTCGCGGGCGGCGCCTTCCACTGCTGCGCGCTGACGACGGCGGGACAGCTCTGGACCTTCGGGGACGAGTACGGGCCCGACGAGTCGAACGGCAATCTGCTCGGCTTGGGCCCGCGCGGCGGCGCGGGCGGCGCCGCGGACCCGGACCCGCTCGTGCGCCAGCGCGGCGACGGCGAGCACGTGCCCCGGCCGCCGCGACCCGTGCCGGGCCTGCCGCCCGTCGCGGCCGTCGCGGCGTCGACGTACGCGACGCTGGCCATCGCCGTCGACGGCCGCTGCTTCTCCTGGGGCGACTGCGACGGCCACGCGCTCGGCCACGCGACGCTGCGCCCCCGCTGCGACACCCCGGCGCGGCTCACGTCGCTCCGGGGCGCCGCCGCCGCCGCGGGCGCGCTGTCGTACACGAACGGCGCGGTCGCGTCCAAAGACGGCCGGGTCTACTGCTGGGGCGGCAACGCCTGGGAGGGCGGCATCGCCAACGCGGGCCGCGAGGGGCCCGGCGACGTCGTCGCCGAGGTCGCCTGGCGCGGCGTGCCGCCGGACTACGCGTGCGCCCAGGTCGCGCTCGGCCACAACCACGGCCTCCTGCTCTTCGAGCTCCGCGTCTAACGTCGAGAGACATGGACATGTTAGTAGCATGCGGCAATTGAGGTCATGGTAGGGTGCATCAAATTGGATGGCCACGTGGTAGGGAGCATCAGTGTGCCTCTCAGAGGCACATCACGGCGAAGACCGCGGGAGGAGAGAGAGAGAGAGAGAGAGAGAGCGAGTAGTAGGAGCGACAGGTGGTAGGAGCGCCCCGTCGCGGATCGGAGCGCGCCGCGGCGCCGGCTAGGGCGGCGGCGGGCCCGGATCGTAGCGCGGCGGGTGCGGGTAGGGCGGCGGCGGGCCGCGCGGCGCGTCGTAGAGCGGCGGCGCGTCGCGGCGCGCGTCGTCGCCGCGGTCGTGGTGCGGCGGGTAGTGGGACCGGTAGAGCCACTCGCGCGACGCCTCGAGGGGCCCGCGCGGCACGTAGCCGCCCGGGTCGGCGCCGCGGTCGAAGGCGCCGCGCGGGTCGTAGCCGGGCCAGGTGTTCCGCGTCGCGCGGTAGGGGTCGTAGGCGCCCGGCGGCGGCGCGTCGAAGGGCGGCGGGTGGCCGGGGGGCGGCGGCGGCGCGCCGGCGCCCCCGCCGGGGGCGCCGTAGCCCGGCGCGAAGTCGCGGGGCGGCGGCGCGGCGGCGCCGCCCCCGGGGGCCCCGCCGTAGGGCGGGGCGTGGGGCGGGAAGGGCGGGCTGTAGGCCCGGGGCGCGTAGTAGGGCGGCGGCAGCGCGTCGTGGTAGGCGGCGTAGGCGCCCGGGTAGCCGCCGCCGCCGTAGCGGCCGCCGCCGAGGCGCTCTTCGAAGAAGCCGCCGCCGCGCGGGAAGACGTGCTCGACGTTGCCCATCTCGCGGCGCTTGTTGCGGCCCGGCGTGATGGGCCCGAGGATGGGCTCGTAGGGCGGGAGCACGCCGAGGTCGTTGGTGAGGACCGGCGCGTCTTTCAGGCCCGCGGCGACGGCGTCGCGGACGTCGTCGTCCATGAGCCAGAGGCTCAGCTTGCCCTTGGGCGCGGACACGGGCTCCTTGAGCTCGATGACGGCGTCGACGACGTTGCAGACCGGGCCCTGGGCCCAGAAGGACCCGCCGCAGTTCTGCGGCCGCCGGCACTCCTTCACGCGGAACGCGCCGACGATCGTCGCCTGCCACCTGCGCGGGAACGGGGCGATTCGACGCGAGCGTTCCGCGCGCGCGCGCTCCGGAACAAGCGTCGACACCGTTCCGAGGGACGATCGCTCGTCCGAAAATCAGCCGAAACGAGCGGAAAAGGCACGTCGCGCCCTGTTTCCCGCGCCGCCCGCCACGAGCGCATGAGCTCCTCCTCCGTCGGCAGGCGGCAGTCCGTGACGAGGCCCCGGTAGTCGCCCTCGAAGGCGCCCTTGCCCACGTGGATCGCGATCCAGCCGCCGCACGGCAGCCGGTACGGCCGGTTCTCGAGGACCTTCTTCCGCTTGAGGATGGCCCACGCGATGGTCGCGCCCTTGAAGGTCAGCGCCCGCTCGATCTCGCCCGGCGTCGCCGCGCCCTCGACGCGCTTCGGCTTCTTGCTACCCGCATCCTCCTCCTCGTCGTCGTCGTCGTCGTAGGCCCGCGGCCGCTTGTCCCCGTCGGCCGCCGCGGCGGCCGCCGCGGCCGCCGCGGCCGGCGGCGGCGGCGCGGCCACGGGCGGCAGCGCGCCCGGGAGCATCGGCGGCGCGCACCGCCCGCCGTCGTCGCCCTCGCCCGGCGCCTCGTCGACGGCCGCGCCGGCGCCATCCTCGGGGGCTGCCTCCCGGTCCTCGTCGTCGTCGCAAGGCAGGTCGCCGGCGGCGACGGAGCTCACCTCCGACGTCGACGCCTGGGGCGGGGGCGGGCTGCGGCCCCCGGCGAGCTCGTCGTCGGCTGCCCCGCCAAGGGGAATGCACGCCTCCATCGCGGAGGAGTGTAAGCTTGTTTGTACGGCCTATCCAGCCAGGAAATGCGCAACTTGTTTGTACAGGAATGCTTCGGCTTTTAAGCTCTTTTGCTATCTCTAAGCTGAGGTTTTTATATACTTCCGTGCAGACAATATTTGTCTTTTGTTCTGCACTGCACATCCATTGAAGTACAAAGGCACTGGAAACTTACTGTTTTTTTCAGGAACGTCTCATGGAGCTTAAGTATCCAACGTCTCAGTGGGGGGTAAACTTGCCTGACGAGCGGCAACATCGCGGCACTCAAAGCACTTCCCAAAAAGCGATAGGGCTTGGCTTCGGTTGCTACGACCCAGCGATGGCCTCCAACGTGGACGTGGACATGGCCGCGGCCAACGCCGACGCCGTCGCCGCGCAGATGGACGCCATGGACGTCGAGCGCGTCGTCGAGGACGACGACGGCGAGATGCTCATCGAGGACGAGGGCGAGGATTTAGGCGCCAACTACCTCGAGGACGACGGGTCCATCGAGGACGGCGGCGACGACGGCACCTTCGCGAGCCTCCAGCAGGTCGAGGAGCAGCTCAAGGCCGGCGTCGAGCAGCCCTTCAAACGCGCGGCCGAGCGCGACGACGCCGAGAGCACGCTCGCGACGCACGGCGACGCGGTCTACTGCTGCGCCTTCGCGCCCAACGGCGACGCCCTCACGGGCGGCGGCGACGACCGCGCCTTCCTCCACTTCGGGGCGGGCTCCGGCGCCGCCTCGAGGTCCGTGGAGCTCGGCGGCCACACGGACAGCGTCACGACGTGCGGCTTCAGCCACACGGGCACCTTCGCGGCGACGGGCTCCTACGACGGCACGGTCAAGCTCTGGGACGCGACGACGGGCAACCTCGCGCGGACCCTCGACGGGCCCGGGGACGTCGAGTGGCTCAAGTGGCACCCGAAGGGCGACGTCGTCCTCTGCGGCTCGGGCGACGGCACGTGCTGGATGTGGCTCGCGACGTCGGGCGGCTGCATGCGCGTCTTCGCGGGCCACGAGGGCCCCGTGCTCTGCGGGGCCTTCACCTGCGACGGCAAGCAGATCGTGACCGGCTCCGCGGACGGCTCCGTGCGCGTCTGGGCGCCGAAGAAGGGCGTCTGCAAGCACGCCTGGTTGCCCCGGGGCCACGGCGCGCCGCCGGGCGACCGCGGCATGCTCCTCATGTCCAACGGGGCCATCACGGCCCTCGACGTCCACCCGTCGGACCCCGAGCTCGTCGCCGCGGCGGCGGAGGACGGCACGGCCGTCGTGCTCCACTGCAAGTCGAAGAAGATCGTCAACGTCCTCGAGCACGCCGTGGCGAAGACCGTGCGCCGCGACGACGGCGAGGACGAGGACCCGGCCTACGCCGTGGTCTGCGTCGCGTTCTCGCGGGACCCGGACACGTGGGTCGCGACGGGCTCCGTCGACGGCTTCCTCAAGGTCTGGGACTTCGCGAAGTTGCCCGCGCGGCCGCGCGTGTCGCTCGTCCACAACACGGCCGTCGTCGCGCTCGCGTGGTTCCCGAAGGCCGCGAAGCTCGTGTCGTCGTCGGCGGACCTGTCGGTGAAGGTCTGGGACGCGCGGAGCGGCGCCTGCGAACGGGACCTCCGGGGCCACACGGACATCCCCCTGGCCATGGCCGCGCGCTTCCCGGACGACGGCGACGCCGCGGTCCTCTCCGTCGGCGACGACACGACGGGCAAGCTCTTCCTCATCCCTAAATAGCGCTGTTCAGCACATCACATCGGGGCTACGCCGCGCGCGCCCCTAGAGGGGCCGCGGGTTCTGCTTGCGGTGGCGGCGGTAGAACGCGGCGGCCGCGCCGACCTTGGCGCCGACGTCCGCGGCCGCGAGCGCGCGCTTCGCGTCCGCGACGGCGCGCTTCGCGGCGGCGACGACGCTCGTCGCCCGCGGCGCGAGGGTTTTCGCGAGGGCCGCGGCCGCGCGGAGCGGGAGGAAGAGCGCGTCGAGGAACGCCTTGGCGGCCCGCTTCGCGAGGAGGCCCATTGGGAGCGCCGGCTCGCCGCCCGCGAGGAGCAGCGCCGACGGCGGCGCGACGGGCTCCGGTGTCTCGACGACGACGAGCGACGTGGCCATGGGCGCGGCGACGGGGACCGGCGGCGTCGCCGCCCGGGCGAGGAGCGCGAGCGCGACGGCCCAGAACGCCAGCGAGTAGGCCCCGAGGCGCTTCGCCGACGGCGCCGCGGCGGCCGGCGCGGCGGCCGGCGCGGCGACCGGCGCGGCGCCGTCGGCGGCCGGGGCCTTCGTCGCCGCGGGCGCGGCGATGGTGTTCGTCGCGTCGCCGAGGACGACGCGCACGCGGCGCGCCTCGGCCTTTTTCGGGCTCGCCGACGGCGGCGTCACGCGCGCGGACGTCGGCGGCGCGCGGTCCTTGGGCGGCGACGGCGTGCGCATCGTGAGCCGCTTCCTTAGCGAGTCGAAGCTCGCGCTGCGCTTCTTGCCGCGCGGCGTCGGCGTCGCGTCCATGCGGTCCAGCGAGTCCACGGAGCGCGGCGCGTCGTCGCCGTCGTCGCCTTTGCGCCCGCCGGCGAGGCGCGTGATCGTAGGGGTGTGGACGGCGTCGACGCGCGCCGTGTTGATGTGGGAGATGGCCTTCATTGCGTGGATGCGGCTGCAACCGCCGACGGATTAGGCGCCAGCTTCGAACAGGCACCACGCGATTTCTCGTTGGCGACAAAAGATCTCATGTTGACGCGTCGTTGCCCGCAAAGGTGCCGATCTCGGGCTGCGACGATGGCCGACGCCCGGCCCGTCGTCGAGGACCATCCGCTGCTGCCGCGGGCCGAGGAGTACAAGAAGGACGGCCTGTTGAAGCCGCGCGTCAACGCGGGCTTCCTGCTGCGCGTCGTCGTCTTCCCGGCCCTCGGCGGTTTACTGTACGGCTTCGACATTGGGGCGACGTCCTACTGCGTGTCGGAGCTCGAGCGCAGCAGCGGCGGCGTGAGCTGGGGCCGCGCCGTCGGCCGGTCCGCGCTGCTGCGCGGCCTCGTCGCGTCGGCGAGCGTCCTGGGAGCGTTCTGCGCGTCGTTCCTCGTCTTCGCGATGGCGGAGCGCATCGGGCGGCGCGGCGAGATGGTCCGCGGCGCGGCCTGCTTCGGCGTGGGCACGGTCTTCACGTTTCTGAGCGCGGAGCTCGACGACGCGCGCGCGGGCATCACCTGCTTCTTGCTGGGGCGGGCGATCTACGGGTGCGGCTGCGCTTTAGCAACGCACGCGGCGCCGGCGTACATCGCGGAGATGGCGCCCGCGTGCTACCGCGGCGCCTGCGTGTCGAGCAAGGAGGCTTTGATCGTCGTCGGCATGCTCTTCGGGTACGCCGCGGGCTACGCGACGCGGGACCGGCCCCTGGGCTGGCGCGAGGCCTACGCCGTCGCGTTGCCCATTTCTTGCGTCTACCTCGCGGGCGTCTTGGGGCTCCCGCGGTCCGGCCGCTGGCTCGCGCTCCGGGGCAAACGCAAAGAGGCCGCGCGGGCCTACGGGCTGCTCTACGAGCGGCGCGAGGACGCGGGCCGCGTCCTCGGCGACATTTTGGCGGACATCGCCGCCGAGGGCCGCGGCGACGACGGCCGATCCGGCGCCCGAGGCGACGAGCCGGGGGCGCCGGACCTGTCGCTGACGGAGGCGTACCGGCGGTCGCCGGCGACGGCGAACGCGCTCCGGGCGGCGCTCGGCGTCGTGCTGCTGCAGCAGGTCACGGGGCAGCCGTCCGTGCTCTACTACTCGTCGACGATCATGGAGGCCGCGGGCGCGCAGGCCTGGGCGCCCCTCGCCGTCGCCTTCGTCAAGCTCGTCGCGACGGTCTACTCCTGCGCGACCGTCGAGAGGCACGGCCGGCGGAAGCTGCTCGGCGTGGGCATCTCCGTGATGACGACGTCGCTGGTGGTGTTGTCGCTGGCGTTCGCGCTCTCGTCCACGACGTCGAGCGCGTCGACGGCGACGTCGAACGCCGAGGCCGCGGGCGAGCACCCGGCCCACTCGGGCGCGCGGAACCCCGGCGCCGCGGGGTCGACCGGCGCGAGCAGCGACACGCACAAGCTCTCGGAGCTGAGCAGCCTCGTGGCCATGTTCGGCTTCGTCTCCGGGTACCAGATCGGCTTCGGCCCCATCGCGTGGCTGCTCCTGAGCGAGCTCTTCGGGAACACGATCCGGGGCAAGGCGTTGGCGTTCGGCGTCCAGCTCAACTTCGGCGCGAATCTCGCGGTGTCGCTCGCGTTCCCCTCGCTGCTGTCGGCGTGCGGGGGCACGGCGACCTTCGTCATCTTCGCGCTGCTGAGCGCCTACGCGGCCTACTTCGTGCGCACCTACGTGCCGGAGACGCGGGGCCTGACGCTCGAGCAGATCCAGAAGCTTTTGGAGTCGTCGAGCCTCGTCTGGGGGGACGACATGGAGTCGCCGCTCGACATCGACGAGATCGACCGGCTCCACGAGAGCGGCCTCTTCGACCCGCCCATCGCCGAGGCGTCCGTCGTCGCGCGGCCGACCGCGCGCGGCGACGCCGCCGCGCGGGACCGGGAGGTCTTCGGCGACGGCCTCATGACGGAGACGGCCATCGCCGAGGACGTCGACGAGAACGGCGGGCCCGCGCTCCTCCGGCGCCACGCGTAAACCGCCGTGTCGCGGAAGCTTACTAGTGGTGGGACCCCTTCTCCGCTCCTCCGGCGCCACGCGTAACCTCGTCGTCCCGCGACGCTTACTAGTGGTGGGACCCCTTCTCGAGGTCGCCGAGGGACGCGCCCATGAGCTTCCGCGCGGAGCCGGCCTTGGCGACCTGGGCCTTGCCGTGGGCCGAGTTGAGGAAGGTCATGAGCTGCGTCTTCTCGACGGCGCGCAGGTACGTCAGGAAGTCGATCTCGCCGCCCTGCGTGCCCGTCTCCCGCATGTCGTCGCCGAAGAGCTCCTTGAGCTTGGCCTCCATGCGCACGCGGCCGTAGCGCGCGTAGAGCATGTTCATGGTCTCGTCGACGGACACGAGGCCGTTCTCGTCCTGGTCGAAGATCATGAACTGGACGACGTTGAAGAGCTGGCTCGGCTCGAGGCCCGTGCGGTCCCGGATGTTCCGCTGGAACATGAGGAGCATCTCCTCCCAGTTCACGCAGCAGTCCAGGTCCTCGTCGACCTCCCAGATCATGTCCTCGACGTCCTTCCGCGGCGTCTTCTTCCCCAGCGTCTTCAGCGCCTCCATGAGGTCCTGCACGCTGATGAGGCCGTCGGACTCCGCCTCGATGGTCCGCAGCTTGATCTGCAGCTCCTCGATCTCGTCGTCGAGCTTCTGGAGCTCGGCGGCGACCATGAGGTCCGCGCCCTCGTCGTCGTCGAGCTTGCTCCGGAGCTGGTTCGCGCGCTCCTGCTGCGGCCGCAGGATCTTCAACACCGCGCGCTTCGCGCCGTAGTCGCAGAGCAGGTCGTAGACCCGCCGGAGCTGGATCTCCTCCTGGGGCGTGATGCCCGGCTGCTCCTCCTGGGCCTGCGAGTAGTAGCTCATGGCGCAACGCCGGCGGGCTGCCCCGGGGGGCGCCTCTATCGGCCGCTTGAGCGCTACGGCCGCCGCGGGTACGTGCCGGCACGATGCCGGAACGATGCTGCCCCCGGGCAGCCTGCCCAAAATCCTGATGGCGTGAGCTTTCATGGACGGCGGCCACTCGCACGGCCACTCGCACGCCCACCACAGCCTGTCCCTATGCGGCGACATGGGCGACGTCCAGCACGACGAGCCGCACAAGAAGCACCACCACCGCCACCACGCTAGCCAGCCCCGGCCCTTCGCCATCGTCGACATCCGCAGCGACGACGAGCCGGCGCACGACGCCTCCTGCGAGGACACGCTGAGCGAGTACTGCGTCGGCGCGCGGGCGAACCCGCTCCAGGCCGACGCCGGGACGCCGGCGCCGGCCCGCGGGAGGAAGACCGCGGTCAGCCTCGAGGTCCGCGCGGAGACGCCGCCGCCGCCGCCGCCCGCGCCGGCGCCGCTGCGCATCGACGGCTACCTCGACCGGTCCCTGGCGGGCGGCGCGTCGCCGACGACGAACCGGAAGGAGCGCCAGGCGGCCGAGGACGCGGAGCGCGCGAGCGTGCGGGCCGCGCTCGCGACGCACTGCGCGCTCGCCGCGCGGCGCGAGGTGGCCGTCGCGACGCTCCGGCGGTCCCTGGACCGCTACGACGAGGCAAACGACGCCTGGCGCTTCGAGGCCGGGGACGTCGTCGAGGTCCAGGGCCCGGACGCGCGCTGGCGCCTCGCGGTCGTCACGCACGGCGCGCGGGGCGTCTACGGCGTCGCGAGCAACGGCGGCTTCACGCACGGCTACGGCGACGACCTGCTCGCGCCGCGCGTGGCCGCCGTCGTCAGCCGGCGGGGCTTCGGCGAGGCGCCCTTCACCTGGCGGGCCGCGGCGATGGTCCGCCTCGAGGAGCGGCTCCAGTTCATGGACGGCCACCGCGACGACTTCGAGCGCTTCGGCTACGAGGCCTGGGGCCGGCGCGAGTTCGACTACTGGCTCCGCGACGAGCGCAACGGCGCCTTCCGGGCCCAGTTCGAGGCCGCGGCGCCGGGCGCGCGCGCCGCGCTCTACGGCCTCTGCCTCGAGCCCTTCGAGCGCACGGAGGCGCTGAAGACGTGGGACTGGCGCCACACGAAGGCGTCGACGTACCTCTACCTGGCGTGCCTGGGCTCGGGCGTCGCGTCCGTGCTCGGGACGCTCCTCCTCCAGCGGGGCATTCCGGTCGTCGTCTTCCTCTTCGAGATCCGCCACGGCCGCGGCTCGGGCTTCCCGGCGCTCTGCGCGGACCGCGCGGCGACGGTCCAGGACCGGGGCGAGGGCGCGCGCTTCACGTCGGCGATGATCCTGCTCGTCGTCTTCTTCTACGCGGCCAAGGTCGCGCCGGACGCGTACGCGAAGTTCCTCGGCGACGGCGCGGTCGCGAAGCTCGTCGCCCTCCGGGCGCTCCTCTTCCGGTCCGAGAACGACGGCGCGCTCCAGAAGGTCGGGTTCCGCCTCTACCGGACGATGAACAGCGGCTTCGACGTCGTGCTGTATACGTTAAACTTGTACCTCCTCTTCTACCACCACTCGCCCCTCGAGGTCATCCTCAACTCCCTCGCCATCGAGTTCATCCGCGACCTCGACGAGACGCTCAACGTCGACGCGAACAACCGCTACCTCAAGGCGTCGGCCGTGGAGATGGTCATGCGCTCCTACCTGCCGCTCCGGGACCTGCGGCGGCGCCTCGGCGTCGGCGACGCGGCGCTGGGGGCTCAACGGAGGGCGGCCGCGGCCGCGCGCTGGAAGCACCACTGGCGCGCGCGGCACGCGAGCTCCGTCGCCCTCGTGTCGACGTCCGACGTCGCCGCGAAGCTCAAGTCCGCGGACGAGCGCGTCGACGACATGGTCGAGGAGTACTACGGCACCTTCGAGGGCTCGCAGAGCTTCGGCTGGCTCGCGTCGGCGCTCCAGGTGAGGGGCTACACGACGTCGGGCATCTTCGAGCGCTATGTGATTTATCGGGGCGACCAGTGGGACGCGCACCTCTTCCCGGCGGACGCCGCCGCCGGGGGCGCGAGGCTCGGCGGCCTGCCCTACGACCACCTCGAGGGCTTCGAGAACTTCCCGCGCTTCCGCGCCTTCGTCGAGCGGCACGCGCCGCGGACGGCGGCGCGCATCAACCGCCGCCCGCGCCTCGGCGACCTCCTCAAGACGGCGTCCCTCCAGCGCGTCTACCAGGCCGCGCGCGGCCGCGCGGGCGACGGCGCCGTCATCGAGGACTGCTCCTGCTGCCGCCGGCTCATGATGACCGCCGACGCCCTCGTCGAGGTCGCCAACGCCATGGTCGTCCTCTTCGGCTTCCCGCTCGTGTTGCTCGCCGTGCTCGCGTGGGTGCCCCTCTGCTACGGGCCCGAGCGCTCCTGGTGATCCACGACACGCGGGACCGCCAGGTCCGCAGCGTACGTCACACGCGGGACCGCCACGTCCGCAGCGTACCCTTCCAAGAACGCGGGATCTCGCCGTCCGCAGCGTCCCATTTCGCAGAACCCCGGCACTTAATTTCAATTTACTTGCGGCCGAAGAGCTTGACGTCGAGGACCAGGTCGGGCTGGTAGGGTCGCCGCGGGTTGGCGTAGATATTTTTCCAGCGCTGGTACTCGCCGAAGGCCGTCTCCGGCGGTGGGATGGGCTGCTGGGACTCCGCCGCGAGGGACGTGTAGCCGAGGCTCGCGGGCACGTAGACGCGGCGCACGCCGCCGCCCTTCATCGTCGCGACAGCCTCGTTGAGCCCCGCGATGACGCTCGGGTCGCCGAGGACGAAGGAGAAGGGACGTCCGCGTCCTTCGTCCGCGTCCTTCGTCGAATATATCTTCGCGCCGTAGCGCGCGCCGGTCGTCGACATGACGTAGTCCACCGTGACGCGCTGGCCCTTGGCCGGCGCGGAGCCCGGGCCGACCTTGAAGTCCTGGTAGGACAGGCCCGAGGCGAGCGCCACGGTCTCCGGCTCCGACGGCGGCGGCGCCGCGGCGGCCCGGGCCGCGAGCGGCGCGGCGCCGCTGGCTGCGGTGAGCGCTCGCAGCGCGTGCCGGCGGTCGACGAGGCGGAGCGCGCTCGTGGCGGTCGCGAGCAGCACTACGAGGAGTGCGCGCATCATTTGAAGACCGCGACGGACGTCGTCGATGGCGGTCGAGAGCACAGGACGACGACGATGGCGCGCGCTTGTGGGAGCGCAACACGACGTCGAGGGCGTCTTGTGAGTGTGGAGCTCGTCAGAAGTGCAACATTGAAATGCAACATACCTTCAATGAGTCACCTTACCGGTGCCGCGTCGTCGTCGGCGAAGCGCGCGGCCGGCTTGGGGGCCTTGTCGGCGTCGGCGGGGTGGGCGGCCGCGGCCCGGCGGTCCCCGGGCGCGCCGCGGAGGGGCTCGGGCTCGTAGAGGTCCTCGCCGCTGTCGCGGACCGCGACGTCCGGGATGAGCAGCCCGGCGCCGTCGACGCGCGTCGGCGGCGGGTCGTTGCGGTGCGCGAAGCCCGCGAGCACGTCGCGCGGCGGCGGGCGGCGCAGGTCCTCCCGGGCGCTCTCCTTGACGATGGCCGCGGGCCTCCCCAACTTCCACGGCGGCGTCGGTCCTCCTTCTTTCGGCTTCGCGGGCGTGCCCGGCGGCGTCTCGCAGGGCCGCGGCTCGCGGCGCAGGGCGCGCTTCGACTCGCGGAGCGCGAGGCGCGCGGCCTGCTCCGTCTCCCGGCGCGCGTCGCTGAGGATCTTCGCGACCCTGGCGTCGCACGCGCGCTCGGCGTTCCGCGCGTCGTCGCGCGCCGCGAGCGCGCCCGCGCGCGCCTCGTCGAGCAGCGCCTGCTGCGCCTCGCTGCGGGCCGTCGCCGCGGCCGCCGCGCGCTCGCGGATGTCGACCTGGTCCCGGAGGCTCGCGGCCTCGAGCGCGCGCGTCTCCCGCTCGTCGGCCAAAGTCGCCTCGAGGTCGCCCTTCTCGCTTTCGACGGCGGCGAGCCGGCGTTTGCACTCGTCGAGCTCGACGGCCAGCGTCGTCGCGCGCGCCTCGGCGTCGACGGCCCCGTTTCTCGCCGCCGCGACGTCGCCGCGCGCGCGAGAGGCCTCGGCGGCCGCCGCCGCGAACGCCGCGTGCGACGCGCGCAGCGCGGACGCCGCCGCCGCCGCGTCGGCGTCGCGCTGCGCGCGGCCGCGGTCGTCGCGCCGCTTCTCGAAGCGGCTCCGCTCGAAGCGGTCGCTCAGCGCCTCGACGCGCTCGATCTCGCGCGCCCGCGACTGGGCCGGCTCGCCGCCGCCGAAGCGCTCGCGCGTCTCCCGCGCGACGTCCGGCGCGCAGCCGTCGGCCAGCGCTTCCAAAGCGACCGCCAAGCGATCCGGCGCGGCCATCGGAGTTTGGAGTTCTCAGGCGGAGGCGAGCAGCCCCATCACATTCGAAATATAAAAATGCAACAAGGCCTGCGAAATCTTTGGCTTAAACAGGCGCCCAAGAAGCGTTTGTGTCGTGAGGTGAACCGAACGCCCGGGGCTGCCCGCTGCGGCCGCACGTCGGGGGCCCACGATGCCGGAGACCGACGGCGGGCGGACCTTTCCCGAGGCGAAGCCCTCGGCCCCCCTCGAGGCCCTGGAGACGAGCCCGTCCATGGCGTCGGCCCCGCCCCAGCAGAAGAGTCCCATCGAGACGGACTTCGAGGACCGCCCGAAGGCGACGAGCGTCGCGCCCCTGACGACGGACGGCGGCGCGTGCAAGGACCTGGAGCGGCAGCTCGCGCAGTCCATCACGAAGCACGGCGAGAACCACATCTCCGTCGCCAAGACGCTGCTGGCCCTGGGCGTCGAGCGACGGCGCGAGGGCAAGATCGACGCGGCCATCGCGCACCTCGAGCGCGGCATCGGCGTGCTCGAGACCATCGTCGTGGACCCGGGCGACGCGCGCATCGTCATCAAGATGCTCACGGAGCTGGCGACGTGCTGCACGACGCACGGCCGCCTCGACGACTCGACGGCGTTGTTGAACCGCGCCGTCGAGGTCGCCGTGGGCTCCGGCGACGACGCCGAGGCGGGCCGCCTCCGCGAGGAGCTCAAGAGCGTCGACGTCGAGCGCAAGCAGGCCGCCGCCAAGGCGCGGGCCGCGGGCGGCCGGGGCCGCGGCTCGCCGAACCGCCCGGGATCGAGCGGCGGCGGGCCGCTGCCGCCCAAGAAGCTGTTCCCCTAGCGCGGCCGCCGGACTCGGCGCGGCCGCGCGAGTGTAACACCCCCGGGCGCCGCGGCGACCACCGCCGCGGCGCCGACTTTACACGGTGGAGTCTACGTACGCGCAGAGCCGCTCGAGGCCCTCGCGGACGTCGCCCTCGCTCGCGCAGAGGCTCACGCGGACGTGGTGGGCCGTCGGCGCTCCAAAGGCCGCGCCGGGCGCGACGGCGACGCCCCGGTCCGCGAGCAACTCCCGGGCGAAGGCGACGGAGTCGCGGCCCACGTCCACGAGCAGATAGAACGCGCCGGCCGGCTCGTACTCGAGGCGGCCGCGGGCGCCGAGCACGCCGAGCGCGACGTCGCGGCGCGCGCGGTACGCGTCGCGCATCGACGCCGCGTAGGCGCGCGCGTCGGAGCTCCGGAGCGCCGCCTCGGCGCCGGCCTGGGCGAAGGGCACGCCGCAGGACACGAGGGGCTCCATGAGCTTCTCCGCGGCGGCGACGAGGGCCGGCCCCTTGGACGCGAGCCAGCCCACGCGAAAGCCCGTCATGGCGAACTCCTTCGAGACCCCCGCGCAGGCGACGACGCGGCCCTCGGCGGCGCCGAGGTCGCAGTCGAAGACGGACGGCGCGCTGCCGCCGCCGTTCGAGAAGCAGACGCCGCCGTAGATCTCGTCCGAGAGGAGCGCCGCGCCCGGTCGGTCGCCGACGAAGTCGACGAAGCGCTGGAGCTCCTCGCGCGAGAAGACGCTGCCCGTCGGGTTCGACGGGCTGTTGACGACGACGAGCTTCGTCCGAGGGGTCGCCAACGCCTCGAGCGCCTCGCGCGACGGCGCGGACCAGGCCTCGCTCGCGCGTCCCAGCGGGTAGTGGACGACGGTGGCGCCGAGGACATGAGCGGCCATGGTATAGTTCTCGTAGCCCGGGGATGGCAAGAGGACCTCGTCGCCGGGCTCGAGACACGCCGCGAAACATGCGTAGAACGCGAGCATGCTGCCCGACGTGACGACGACGTCCTTCGCCGCGATGCGCGCGGCGGGCGACCGGCGGCCGTAGATTTCCGTGGCGACGGCGTCGCGCAAGCCGTCGAGCCCCGCGTTGGCGATGTAGGACTGCATGCCGTGGCGCGCGACGGCGTCCTGCGACGCGGCGACGGCGGCCTCCGGTGCAGCAAAATTCGGCTGCCCGACGCCGAGGTGGATGACCTGTTTGCCCTCCGCTTCTAAAGCCCAGGCGCGGCCGAGGATGTCGCGGATCAGCGAGCCGCGGACCTTTGCGATGTTTCGTGCGAACATGGTACAAGCTTGTTGTTAGGGGCTGCCCATCGTGGCTGCTTCAGGATAGCTTCAAGCTGGCATAATAATCGATCTTGAAGGAGTTGAGCATGGACGCCAGCCCCTCCGAGGATGACGGGAGCATGCCATTGGACGACTGGGCCGAGACTGACGGGAGCATGGACGACCGGTCCGAGGATGACGCATCCGCTTCACTTTTTGAGCCTGAACTGCTGCGAGGTGAAGCGCTGTCTGCGTATCGTAATTCTCGGGCGGCGCGGTCGTTCGTGGTGCCTCGCGCCAACACCAACGCGCGGCGTGTCATGTTTCGACAACATAGCTACCCAATCGATTGTGAGCCCGATCTGCTGATGGTCGAAGACCAGAGCGGCGCGGAAGTGCCTGCGGCCGACTTCTACGAGTGGGTTCGGCAGCAGTACTGCGAGCTCTGCGCGCTGCGCAAGGTGGTCGACGAACATGTGCCCGCCTTTGACGACCCGTTCGAAACATTCTTTGGGACGGTGCAAGATCTAGTGATGACTGACTCGTGGGGAAGTAGGGGACCTTTCCCTCCAGAGCTTCTTGAACTGCTTTTTGTATTCGACGACACTTTCTTGTCCAAAATTGTCTGAGCATCTCAACGATATCGACATGACCGGCGCGAGGTCGTCTTGCGCGAGGTCCTCGGGCAGCGCCTGAGCGTCGTGGACCCGCTCAACGTCATCGTCAGCTTCCTCGAGGTCGACGACGAAATGTTTTTGCCTCGCGCCGAACTCCCAGTCGTCTTGGAACATCTCGTGGAGTCATTCAACGCGCGGACGGATACTCTAGACGAGCAAAGTGTCGTTGTGCGCGTCTACTCCGGCGAGCACGGACCCCTGGCCAAGGGACGAAGACTCTACAACGGCATTGCCGGCAAAAGTCGCTGGCAGGTCTTCTGGGAAGGCGAGGAGGATATGGAATTCTGGGAAGACGATCGCGAGGTTGCTGCCGACTTCCCATCTGTCGCTCTTCCTGAGACCGAGTTCCACCGGCATTACACAAACCGGGCGCTGGGAGAGTGTGGAGTCACTGTCCGGCGGTGGCCCGTAATTTGGCTCTATAGCACTTACTTCTTCTTCCGCGCCCTGTAGGGGAGGTGCGCGCCGAGCTCCGGCGTCCAGATGATCTCCAGCGGCCCGAGCGCGACGCCGTCGGCGAGGTCGGCCTCGACGTCGCGGCGGAGCACGCCGCGGTGCTGGCCCGCGCAGGTCGCGTAGTCCGAGGGCATCACGCTCCCGGGCTCGCGGCCCGCGCCGAGCCAGCCCATGTGCTGGAGGAACTCGGCGACGACCTTGGAGCAGAAGTGGCTCCGGTGCTCCATGTCCGCCGCGTCCGCGGCGACGACGGAACCCCGGCGGCTGTGGTACTCGATCGCGTGCGTGAACTCGTCGCGCGTCGTGCTGTAGAGCGACCCGCGGACCGTGGCGCAAAAGTCCGCGGCCCTGGCGGCGTCGTCGCGCGACCGCGGCGCCGCGAGACGCCGCACGGCCACCGCCGAGACGCGGGTAGACATTTTGGACTCGAAGTAGCGGTGCGCGAAGTCGTAGACGTGGATGCCCTCGCCGGTGGACTCGAGCAGGTGCACGCCGGCGTCGCATCGCAGGCACGACGCCGGGAAGCTCTTCGCCGCCTTGCCGCCCCCGAAGAAGCCCGGCTCGACCGTCGACGACGCGTCCTCGTGGCTCCAGGGGAAGCAGACGCAGCTGCCCGGCGAGCAGAACGCGTGGCTCCGCCGCCGGAAGGGGAACGTCTCCAGCAGCTCCTCCGTCTTCTCGTTCGGCGCGCCCGGCGCGGGCGCCGCGCCGCGGACGACGACGGCGACGTGGGACCACGGCGCGTCCATCGCGAACTGGAGGTAGCGCCCCATGTCGTCGTCGATCTTCGACAATATAATGTCGCCCGTCTGCAGCGACGCCACGAAGTGGCGGATGTCCTCGGCGCCGTCGTCGACGACGAGCGCGCCGAGCCCGGGGAAGCCCGCGGCGTCGCGCATGGATCTTTCCCAGGAGACGGGCCGCATGAGCCGCGCGGCGTTGACCAAAAACTCCGGCAGCCGGACCTCGCCGTCGCCGTCGACGTCCAGCCGCTGGAAGATGCCCTGGACGAACTGGCCCTGGAAGACGCGCGCCACGTCCCCGAAGCCGATGAGCCGCAGCGCGACGTTGTAGTCCCTGATCCCCAGCGTCGAACCGCCGGACGCCGCCGCGACCTCGCCCGCCGAGAGCTCGAGGCTTTTGCGCCGCTCCGCCGCCGCCAGGAACGCGTCCAGCGCCCCGCCCAAACTCAGCGCCATGGCCACGGCCTCCCCCAGATCGATCCTCCCGTCGCCGGAGCTGTCGTAGCGGAGGAACGTCTCCGCGCGTTCGCGGGAGCCGCCGAGTGCCTCGACGGCCTCGGCGACGGACGCGCCCGCCGCGCGCGACCCCTCGTCCTCGAAGATCGTCGTCAGGATCTGCGCGAGCACGGAATCGAACGCCGCCGCGTCGACGTAGCCGGAGCCGTACGACGCGCGGTCGAAGACCTACCAAGTGCGACGGGGTCGGATTTCTTCACATCTTCAGGCGAAATTCACGCGAAAAAACACTCCTGTCGCTCGACGCGGTCGAAGACGCGCTTCGCGGTCACCGCGCGGCCGAGGGCGCCCTTCGCCGCGCCGAAGGTGACGCCGGCCGCCGCGTCGCCGCCCTCGCAGTGCATGGCGTAGAGCGACGTCGCGAAGGGGCTGCCGCCGACGTCGCCGCAGCCCGTGCCCCGGTCGAGGAACTGGAAGAAGGCGGTTCTCGAGAGCGTGGCCAGCTTCAGGAACGACGCGGCGTCGTCTTCCACGGCGTCGGCGAGGCGCGGGATGTAGCAGAAGATGCTCTCGCCGATGGCCTCCATCGTGGGACAGACGCGGGATCGGCGCCTCAACCACAGCGTCGAGCAGTCGAAGGTCATTCATGTTGCCGTCGCCTCGGCGCGATGCTTTGACCAAAATTTATTGCCCACCAATGCCGCACACCTGCGCGCCGCGCGCGCGAGCATAGGCTGCTACAGCAACTCGCGATGCGGCGCCTCCTCTGCGCGCTCGTCGCGCTGGCGGCGCCGACGCGCGCCTACCAGGACCCCAACGCGACGGCGCAGCTGAAATACCTGCAAAACCACTGCGTCGCGGCCCCCTGCAGCGCCCACGGCCCCTGCGCGCCGCGCTTCGCCCGCGCGCAGCCCGGCGCGACCGTCGCGAGGGGCACGGCCTGGGTGATCACCGTGAAGCGCGTGCGCCGCGCGACGCAGAGCGACTGGGCGAACATGGAGCACTTTGCGGCGACGACGCTGCCGCAGTACGAGGAGCTCTGGCGCGGCCGGACGGGCGTCGACCACGTCGTGCTGCCGCAGGTCGCCGCGGCGTCGAACTTCGCGAGCGCGCGGGGCGCGGACACGGACTGGTTCAAGGAGACGGCCAGGGTCGCGTTCGCGGCGCTCCGGGCAAGAGCGAACCTCGCGCCCGCGCCAGCGGGCGACGGCTTCCTCGTCTTTCGCGACGGCCTGGGCCGGTCGACGTGCTACGAGCGCGTCGTCCACGCGACCTACGTGCCGAGGGCGACGTACCTGAGGGACCCCGACGCGACGCGCGCGTTCTTGGAAGCCGCGGACGGGCTCCACGGCGGCGGGTCCGTGGCCGACGCGGCGCCGTCGACGCGCCCGCCGCGGACCGTGACGTTGCTCCTGCGCTCCGCGAACCTGAACCGGCCGGCGAAGCGCGCGGGGCCCGCGTGGGCGAACTCGCGAGAGTTGGCGGCGTCGCTCGAGCGGTGGCTGTCCTCGGAGCACCCGGGCTGGGTTTTGCAGACCGTGGCCCTCGCCCACGCCTTCTCCTTCGCGTCCCAGTTCCGCACGGCGCAGCACTCGGGCGTGCTCGTGGGAGCGCACGGCGCGTCGCTGACGAACGGCGTCTTCCAAAGGGACGGCGCGGCGCTACTCGAGGTGCTCAACTGCGGCCACCGGTCGAACACGTACCGCAAGCTCGCGACGAACCGGGGCCTCTTCTACGCGTCGGCGACGAAGGCGGGCCAGGGCCCGGGGGGCGCGGACTGCGGCAGGGACCTCGGCCGGCGCCACGTGGACACGCGGCGGTCGCTGCCGTTGGACGAGCTCCGGGGGCCGCTCTCGGCGGCCATCGCCGCCGTCGAGGCCAACCTGCCGCCGGCGACGCTCGCCGGCTGCGCGTCGCTGCTCCCGGCGGCCGGCGACCGGTCCGTCGGCGACGTCGACTCCCTCGCGGCGGCCCTCGAGCGGTCCGACGCGCGCGGGGACGAGCGAAGGCGGCTCGGCGAGTGCGCGGCCTACCGGGCGGGCACCCTCTTCGCGACGCACGTCGCCCTCGGCGGCGACGACGGCGCGGACGTCGCCGCGCACCGGCGGCGGCGGACGTTCTTGCTCGCGGCCGCGGCCTTCGATCGCAGGGGCGGCGGCCTCGTCGACTCCTGGGCCATGAGCTTCTTCGTGGACAGCGCGGCCGTCGCCCTCGTCGAGGCGCAGCGCCTCGCGCGCCACGTGCTCTTCCTCCACGTGTCCAAGGCCGCGGGCACCAGGGCAGGAAAAGGGTGATTCAACGTCGCTTCAACGTGAGTGTTCCACGCGCGCCCGTTTCGGAAACAGCACCCACGCTTCGAGAGCGGTCCGAGAGATGATCGCTCGTCCCAAAATCAGCCGAAACGAGCGGAAAACGACCGAGAGAGGAGCCTTTGAAGTTGGGAATTTCGCACCCTGTTCCCGCCCAGGCGGGCACGTCGTTCTGCAAGCTCGCGGCGCGCAACAAGTGCGCGGCGCCGCCGAAATTCTCGACCATGTGGGACCCCGGCGACGGGCCGACCTGGGGCAACTGCGCGCGGGGGTTGAAGGTCGTCCACGAATCCGCGTCCAAGATCGGCAAGGGCCGCCGCGCGCGGTGCTCCGCGAAGGAGCTCGACTGCGCGCAGCGGCTCGCGGCCTTCAAGACGCGCGGCTACGAGCTGATGGCCGTCGAGCGCTGGGCCGACGCCGGCGGCGCCGTCTGCCCGTCGCCGGCGTCCAACAAGGAGGCGCTCTGGTACGCGACGGTTTTGCGGGAGCCGCTCGCGCGCGTCGCGAGCCACCACAACCACCTCTGGACGAAGACGCTGCGCACGGCGCCCAAGGCCGTCAAGGGCCGCACGCGGTCGAGCCGCAAGCCGGGCCTGTATTTCAAGGGCGTCTTCGAGGACGGCGGACCGGCGCCGTGCGTCGACCCGGAGGAGCTGCCGTTCTCCGTGGGCGCGCCGCACCGCACGGGCTACGACTGGTCCATGGTCTGCGCCATGAGCTCCGACTACGCCACGCGGAGCCTGCTGGGCACGTCCTTCAGCGACCGGCCCTACGACGCGCGCGTGCCGCCGCGCGAGCCGCCGGACGCGCTGCTGCGACGGGCCAAGGACGCGCTCCTCGACTTCGCCGTGGTCCTCGTCGTCGAGCAGGCGTCCCGCGCCCGGAACGTCGTGCGCCACGGCCTGGGCTGGCGGCCCTTCTCGAAGGCGGACGTCTTTCCGACGATCGGCCGCGACGCGTCGAAATCCCGCAAGGTCGTCGCGGCGAACGCCACGGGCAGCGACCGCGCGCTGCTGACGCAGCACAACCAGCTCGACCTGGCCCTCTACGCCTTCGCCAACGACCTCTTCGACGCCGACGTCTTCTTCTACGACAAGGCCGCGCACAGCGGCCTCTTCCGGGAGCCCATCGCCGACGCGCGGCGCCTCTTCTGCGGCTTCAACAAGGCGCCGCCGCCCGTCGACGAGGCCGCGGGCGACGACGAGGCCGACGGCTACGGCGAGGATCCGCCCGTAAGGTGACATACAGGGTTTTTAGGCGCGAAGCGACCGAGGGAGGGGGCTCTCAGTAGAATGCGGTCTGCGCGCCGAAGCCGAAGAACGTCGCGTAGGGCGCCTTCTTCGGCACCGGCGCGGCGGCGGGCGGCGGCGGCGGCGGCGGCGGCTCCGCGGGGTCGACGAACCAGCCGAAGGGCTCGTCGTCGTCCGACGCGTCGCGCTGGAGGCAGCTCGGCTTCCGCGGCGCCCAGGCCGGCAGCTGCTTCGCCGGCGTCGCGCCGGCCGCCGCGGCGCGCCGGTTCGTCCACGGCGGCGTCTCGGCCTCGCTGCCCGAGCTCGACGAGTCCATGGCGTACGACAGGCCCGAGAGCAGGTCCGACGGCAGGGGCCACGGGTTGCTGTTTCCGACGAAGCTGCTGAAGGAGCAGAGCCGGCGCTCCACCTCCGCCGCGTCGAGCGTCGCCATCAGCGCGGCGTGAAGTCCACTTCAGGGGGCAGCGCCGTCGCCCGATCTGAGATGCCTCAAACAGGCGATTGCCTTGGCGCGGTTTCTTCAAAACGGGATGTCAAGTGTCGTTTCAGCGTACGTTGGATCGAAATACTCGAGGGTGCGGTGGGGTACATTCGAGCGACCTGGACGTGCGATGACGCCCGCCGCGGCGCGGAGACTTGAAGACGGCGACGGCGTCGTACTAGTACGGTACCCGACTCGGAGGTGCTGGTGGCGGGTAGAGTAGCGCGCGCGCGGTCGTCTCGAGGCTCGGAAGACGTCGACCGTCGGACGGGCCGCCGGCGGGCGCTCGTGGCCGGACTCGTGACGACGACTCAAATCAAAGAGAACGAGAGGAGCTCCCGCGCACATATGCATCCTCGTTGCGCAATGTGAAGCGCACATGAAGCCGATGTTGCGTGCAAAATCCCAAAACTGAGCTGGTTTGGCGCGCGCCGCCGCCGCTTGATCGAGATCTTCCAAATCTGCTGCCGGTCTGGTCGCCCGACAGATTGCAATTCGCCGCGGCGGCAGCGACACCCTCGCTGCCGCCGGTGCACCGAGAACCGTCGCCGCGCACACCTAGCAACGCGGACGCACCGCGCCGCTCGCCGAAGCGACCGCGTCGCCAGGAAGTGTAGTGTGGAAGTTGCCAGATGTTCGCTAGCAACCTGTCCGTGCCCAACGGCGCCGCGCGCGCGGCGTCGCCGAGCACGCTCATGGCGCCCGGCGCGGGCCTGACGGCGACGCCGGTGCACCCCGCGACGCCCCAGAGGCACCGCGAGACGTCGTCGATGGACGATTCGCCCGACGGGCGGCGGGACGCGGACCTCGCGCGGCGCATCGACCGCCAGTGCTCGCTGGACGACACGAGCCCGCGGCAAGAGCCGCGGCCATCGTCGGCGGAGCGCCGGCAAAAGTCCATCTCGTGCGTCGCGGACATGGACTGCGAGGTCGTCGAACACGTCGAGACGAGGCATCGAAGGAAATCCTACGACGACGACGACGACTGGAGCCAGTGGGCCGACATCGAGGAGGTCCCGGCGAGCCCCTACGGCACGCAGCACTACGTCTACGAGACGAAGCCGGGCTAGGCCCGCGGAAAACCACGCGCGCAAACGCCAAATACTTGCGAGGACTCATACCCCCGCGCGCGGCCCTCGGAGAGCTACCGCGCGCTTGACTGCCCTGCGTTAATGGAAATCTGTCTGTCGAACCGGCGGGGGGCGGCGCGGCGAGGTCCGCCGCGGCCGGCCCGACGGCGCCGGCGGCCGGCTCACGCGGAAGTCGACTCGGCCGCGGCGGCCGCGGGCCCACGTTTGAATTTCGTGCGCCGCCTCTTAGAGCGCCCGCTAGGACGAGGCGCCGCCGGGGTTCGACGGCGGCGGCCGGCTCGGCGGCTGGGGCACGATGGGGTGGCCCGCGGCCGCCTGCGCGGCCTGGTGCTGCTTGAGCGGCTGGCTCACGATCTTGCGGCCGCCGGCGGGCCGGCTCGCCGCCGCGGAGGGCCGCGGCGCGCGCATCTGCTTGCCCGGCTTGATGCCCGGTGGCTGGCGCGGCACGACGCCGGAGACCTCCGCCGCGGAGGCGACGCGCGCCGTCGTCGGCTCCGCGCGCGGCGACGCGCGCGCGGGCGCCATGACCTCGTCGGCCTTCTTCGGGTGCGCGCCCTGGGTGACGGCGACGGACGTCATGAGCCGCGGCAGCGACACGCCCTCGGGCGGCCGCGCGGCGTCCGCGGGCGCGCGCGGCGTCGCCGCGGGCGTGGGCCCCGAGTGGGGCGCGTTGGACGCGCGCCGCGCCGGGCCCGACGGCGTCGCGCCCGCCGTGTGCTTCTGCTGCGACGACGCGCGCCGCGTCGCCGCCGCGCGCTGCTCCTCCACCGCCAGGTCGTGCGCGGCGCGCTCCGCGGCCGCGGCCGCGGCGACCTTGCGCGACACGATGGACCGCGCGATGACGCGGCTCACCTGGTCGCGCTGCGTCTGCGTCTGCGGCGACCCGACGACGATGGGCACGCGGCGGAGGTCGTGGACGAACTGGCACCGCATCATCGCCGACGCCGCGTCCTGGTCGTAGAGGAAGTGGAGCAGGAGGCAGACCACCGTGCCCGCGCGGCCGTGGCCGCCCCAGCAGTGGAGGTAGACGACCTCGTTCGTCGTTTTGATGCGCCGCGCGAGCGCGACGGCGAAGTCGGTGACGGCGTCGTCCTCGACGACGGAGCAGTCCTCGATGCCAAAGTGGAGGAACTGGAGCCGCCGCCCGGGGTAGAAGGCGCCGGCCAACGCCACGGCGTCCTCGTAGTAGGGCCGGATCGCGACGCCGGACCGCCACTTGGCCTCGGGCGCGCGCGGGTCGTACTCCCGTTGGAGGCAGACGAACGTCGTGATGCCCTGCTCCAGCAGGCTCCCGAGCAGCTTCTCGTTCTCGAAGTCGTCGGCCATGCCCGGGAACGCGCCGACCATGAGCCGCCTATGTAGTAGGGTGTTTGGAAACGTCGACGGCGGGAGGCTACTTCTTCTCTCGAAACCGGCGGCCGCGGACGCCGCGCGCGCGCCCGGGAATGACCCAGTTGCTCTCGTCCGTCGGCCCGACGTACTGCGCGCGCTTGAGCTCGATCTCGCGGAAGCTCTCCAGGGGCGGGAGCGGCGCCGCGGGCTCGGCGCCGCCGCCGCCGTTGTAGGCGCCGCTCTGCTGCTGCTGGGCCGTCGGGTTCTCCGCGCCCGCCACGGGCGGCGCCAGACTTCGTCGCTGCTTCGACGTGACCTGGACGTCCATCGTTGTCGGCGCGGGGGGCGCCCCGGTGAGCAGCGGGCCGCGCGGTTTGGCCCAGACCGGAGCGCGGGCACGGTTTTGACAGGTCGACGTCGACCTCCACACGGCGTGCTTGACCTTGCGAGCGCCGGCGACGCACACGCGCCGATCGCACAACAATCGACGTGCGCGCAGCCCTCCCCCTCGTCGACGCATGAAGACTCGCTCGCCGCCTGCACCGCCCGGGGCCTGCTGCTCCCCCCGCGCTTCGCGCGCGTCGCCGCGGGCGCCGACGCCTGCCCGGTCGAAGCGAGATCCAGAGGCAGCCTCGCGCAGGGCCCTGGTCGACACGCGCGAACGCTCCAGGGGACGAGTCGGGCGCGCCGCGCGGCGGCGCCGCGGCGGCTGGCCGGGGTCGATCCCGTCGCCTCAGCGGCGCCATCACTCGGCTGTCCGCGAGTGCCACCCGCGACGCCGTCCGTCGCGTGAAGCCGCACGCACACCGGGAACCCCGCGCGCGCATCGCCGGACGCGCCCGCAGCGGTCGCCGCACCGCCTGCAACCGCGTCGTTCCGCCGCGCGCCCGCCCGGCGCGCCCGCCGCGCCGCCTCGCGCGCCGTCGCCGAGCCAACCATGGCCGACGCGCTCATCGAGGACCAGGCCGACGAGTCCGGCGACGAGGCGCCGGCGCCGGAGGCGGAGGAGGTGGAGGAGAACGAGTACCAGAAGGACGGCTTCGTCGTCGACGACGAGGAGGCCGACGACGGCGACGACGACAAGGGCGACGACCTGCTCAACGACAGCAGCAGCGACGACGACGACGACGACGCGCCGGGCGGCGGGCGGCTGCGGCGGAACAAGGCGCGCGCGGCGCCCGACGCGGAAGACCTGGAGCTCATCGCCGAGAACCTGGGCGCGGCGTCGAAGCCGCCGGCGGACGCCGACGACAGCGACGACGACTTCGACGACGCGCCCAAGAAGCGGCCCCGCGAGGCCGCGGCGCCGGAACCCGAGGCCCCCGCCGCCGAGGCGCGCCTCTTCGACGACGACTCCGACGACGAGCCCAAGGAGAAGAAGGTCAAGAGCGACGCGCTCTACGACGAGGACAACTTCGACGACTTCATCGAGGACGATCTGGGCATCCAGCAGGCGCTCCAGCGCGAGGAGAAGATGGGCATCAGCCGCGCGCGGGGCCCCGCGGGCGCCGGCGGCGGCGCCGACGCGCCGAGCCAGCTCCAGATGATGGACATGATCGACATCTTCGGCGAGGACGCGGAAGATTTCGCGGCCAAGGGCTTTTCGGACGACGACGACGAGGAGGAAAAGGCCGCGGGCGCGGGCTTCCGCGCGCGCTACGAGCCCGGTCTCTTGGCCGAGCACTACGTCACGGACGCCGACGAGGCCATCCGGAAACGAGATCTGCCGGAGCGGCTCCAGCTCCGGAGCGTCGCCACCGCCAAACGGACGCGCCGCGACTACGAGACGCATCTGGAGGAGGAGGCGGCGTGGATCGCGCGCAAGCTGCGCCACCCCCACGCGCCGGCGGACGCGACCGTCGTCGCCGTGTCGCGCCTGCTGCGCTTCTACAACGAGGACTGCTACGAGGTGCCGTTCGTCGCCGCGTACCGGCGCGACTACTTCGTGGACTCGGACATCAAACCGGCGGAGCTCTGGCGCGTCTTCGAGCTCGACGACGAGTTCGCGCGCCTGGCGAAGCGGCGCAAGGACACGGTGAAGATGGTCAAGGCCCTGCGCGCCGTCGCGCCGAGGCCCTTCCTCGGCCCCGGTTTGGCGGCGGCGCGGCTGGCCGACGACGGCGCGCACCGCGACGCGCGCCACTACGTCAAGCACTGCTTCGCGCGCGCGGGCGCCGACGACGGCAAGCGCCGGCCGGGCCAGCGCGAGGCGGCCTTCTGGGCCGCCGTGCGCGACAACGACGTCGACAAGTTCTGCCGGACGTTCGCGAAGAGCGCGAAAGCCGTCGACGACGCGCTGCGCGACCCGGACGCGGCGGCTCAAATGCCGCCGACGCCGGCCGAGTACCCGGACATGGCGTGCCTCGACTTCCTCGGCGCGCCGCCGCTCGACGACGAGTCCAAGCTCCGGGAGTGCGCCGTGGCGGCGCTGGCGCGCGATCTCGCGGCGCTCCCGTCGGTCCGCGCGGAAGCGCGCCGCGCGTTCCGGGAACTCGCGACGGTAACGACGCGCCCGACGGACAAGGGCCGGGCCGAGATCGACGTCTGCCACGAGTACCACGGCCTCCAGTACCTCCAGAACAAGAAGGTGGCCGAGTTCCTCGACGGCGCGTCGTCGAACCCGCCGCGGCGCCACCGGGCCGGCGAGGACGCCGGCGACGCCGTCGCCGACCTCGCGGCCGCGGACTTTGTGAAGATCCTCAAGGCCGAGAAGGAGGGGCTGCTGGCCTACGAGCTGCGGTCGACGGCGAAGCCCGACGACCCAAACGCCGCCGACGAGAAATGGGACGTGGACGCGATCGCGAACGGCCTCTTCAACGCCTACCTGGCTCTGCCCTTTGGCGGCGGCGCGGACCTCGCGGCGCCGGCGGCGACCTACGCCGGGCTCCAGGTCGTGGCGCCGGCCGCGCCGGCGGCGCCCGCCGACGAGCCGCCCAAGGAGGAGGACGTCAAGGCGGAGGACGACGCGGCGGTCGAGGACGCGGCCCCGGCGGACGCGCCCGCGGAGCCCGCGGAGCCCGCGGAGGCACCCGCGGCGGAGCCCGCCGCGGAGGCGCCCGCGGCGCCCGCGGCGGCCGCGGCGGCCGCGGAGCCCGAGGCGGCCGCGGAGCCCGAGGCGGCCGCGGAGCCCGAGGCGGCCGCGGAGCCCGCGGCGGAGCCCGCGGCGGAGCTCGCGGCGGAGCCCGCGGCGGAGCCCGCGGCGGAGCCCGCGGCGGAGGGCGGCGGCGACGGCGTGCTCCGGGAGCGCGGCGGCGGCGACGGCGAGTCCGACGAGGAGATGGAGGACGCGGCGCCCGCCGAGGCGGCGGCGGAGACGCAGCCCGCGCCCGGCTCCGGCCGGCTCCGGCGGAACCGGGTCGTCATGGACTCGGACGACGACGACGACGACGCGCTCCTCGCCGACGCGCCGCCCGCGGCGCCCGCGGCGGCCGCCGCGGACGCGGACGACAGCGACGACGACTTCGCGGACGCGCCGGCCAAGCCGCCGGCGCCCGCGGCGCTCGACGACGCCGACGACAGCGACGACGACTTCGCCGACGCGCCGGAGGGTCGTGCGCCTCGCCGTCAAGTCCTTCCTCCTGCCCATGCTCGAGGAGGAGCTCAAGGGCGAGCTGCGGCGCGCGGGCACGCGCGCCGTCGCGCGCCTCGCGGCGAACGCGCTCCGGCGCCTCGCGGACGTCGCGGGCTTCGCCGGCGGCGGCTTCCGCGGGTCCAACGGCCTCCACGAGTCGGCGGGCGGCCAGGTGGGCTGCAAGGCCGTCGGCGTCGGCGTCGCGCGCGCGGACACGTGGGCGAAGCACGAGCGCGCGCGCGGCCAGGACCCGCCGGCGGAGTCGACGGCGTTCGTGCTCCTGGGGCCGTCGGGCTCCGTGAGCGACCACGAGGTCGCGAGCTCCCGCGCCAACGACCGGAGCCCCGACGACGTGCGCCGCGTGGCGCGCTTCCTGCGGCGCCACCGGCCCGACGTCGTCGTCGTGTCGACGGGCGCGGGCGCCGCCGCGTGCCGCCGGTGCATGAAGTTCGTCGAGGCGTCCGTGCGCGTGGCCCGCGAGCCGCTGCCGCGCTACGAGGACGAGTCGCCCGAGGAGTCCATGCGCCTCGACGAGGAGGAGGAGCTCGTGGGCGAGTGGCAGTGCGCGATATCGTTCGCGGACGACCGCCTCGCGCGCGCGTTCGCGTCGTCGATCCGCGCGGACCGCGAGCTCAAGGAGTACCCGGCGCCCTACCGCGTCGCCGTGTCCCTGGCCCGCGCGGCGCAGAACCCGCTCGCGGAGCTGTCCGCGTGCTTCACGGCGCGCGGGCTCCGGGGCGGCGCGGGGCTCGGGTTGCCGGGCGAGGACCTGACCATGGTCAAGCTCCACCCGCTCGCCGACATGGTCCCGGGCAAGCTGCTCCTCGAGACCTACGCGAAGGCGCTCGTGGACGCGAACTGCGCCCACGGCGTCGACCTGAACCAGGCGTTGCAGTACGACCACCACTTCGGGTGCCTCCAGTTCGTCGCGGGGCTGGGCCCGCGCAAGGCCGCGGCGCTGCGCCGGTCCGCGCGGTCCTACGGCGGCTCGGCGCGCGAGGGCGGCGCCCACGGCGTCGTCGTCTCCCGCCGGAACCTCGCGGCGCTCTTCGACGCGCGGGGCAAGTACTCGACGAAGCGCGGGTCGGCGACGAACTGCTTCACGAACTGCGCCGCTTTTCTCCGCGTGCGGCCCGCGGGGCCGCTGGCGGACATGGCCCTGGACCCGCTCGACGACACGCGGGTCCACCCGGAGTGCTACTTCGGGGGCGAGGGCTTCTACGACTGGGCGCAGAAGATGTGCGCGGACGGCCTCGACCGCGACCTCGGCGAGGGCGAGGAGTCGTACAGCGAGGTCGTCGCGCTGGCCATGGACGACTCGCGGAGCGCGCTGGCGAAGAATTTGAGGAAGCAGAACGCGGCCTACCGCGAGGGCGACTTCTGGAGCCCGCCGCTCTTCGGGACGACGCACAAGGTGAACGAGGCGGAGGACGCCGCGGCCGACGACGCGCTCGACGACAAGCTCGGCGAGCTGGATTTGGACACCTACGCGCAGATCCTCGCCGAGGACTCGGGCGTCGGGTTGCGGCGCGAGCAGCTCGAGGACGTGAAGCGCGAGCTCCGGTGCCCCTACCGCGACGTCCGCGCGCCGTGGCGGCCGCCGACGGAGGCCGCGGTTTTCGACTTGCTGAGCGGGCTGGGCCAGGACCAGGGCGGCGGCGTCAAGGAGAAGCAGATCGTCACGGCGCGCATCCAGCGGGCGGACAAGTACCGCCTCTTCGTGGTGACGGACCTCGGGTTGTCCGGCGGCGTGCACGTCGAATTCCTCGACGCCGAGGGCGGCCGCGTCGAGAACGCCGACGAGTGGCTGTCCACCGAGGGCCTGCGGCCGAGGTTCGACGCGAAGCTCGCGATCGACGAGGTCGTGGAGTGCGCCGTGCTCAAGGTGGACCACGAGCGCTTCCGCATCGAGCTGTCGCGCCGCGACGACGACGTCTTCTTCCCGCAGTCCGCGCAGGCCTTCTACGACCACTACGGCGCGCGGGGCGTCGACTTCGACCCGGCCCTCGACGCGTCGAAGATGGTCCGGGACTACGTGTCCAACGCGCGGAGCCGGCTCGACCGCTGCAAGCGCGTCCGCGACGACCGCGCGCGCGCGCTCGACGCGTCGCTCAAGCCGCGCGCCGCGGCGCGCGCGCGGCGCCACATCCTCCACCCGGCCTACCACGCCAAGTGCGACTACAAGGCCGCGGAGGCGCTGCTGGAAACCATGGGCGCGGGCGAGGTCGTCGCGCGGCCGTCGTCGTCGGGAAAAGTCGCGTTGACGTGGGCGTTCCGCGACGGCGTCTACAAGCACGTCGAGGTCGACGACGCGGACGAGGTCGCGCCCGGCGTGCCGCCCAAGTTCCGCCTCGAGGTGAGCCCCGGCGAGGTCGAGGAGTACGAGGACATCGACGAGCTCCTCGCGCGCTACGTGCTTCCCATGAACGACTTCTGCGAGGACGTCGCGGCGAGCCGCAAGTTCCGCGACGACGTCCGCGACGCCGCCGCGTCGGAGAAGGAGCTCAAGGCCCAGCGCCGCGCGGCGCCGGCGTCCATCCCCTACTTCCTCTGGGTCGACGCGCGCTACCCGGGCCGCTTCGCGCTGTCGTATTTACCGCCGAAGGCGACGACGTGCCGCCTCGAGTGGCTCAAGGTGACGCCCAACGGCCTCTACCTCCGCGACAAGACCTTCCTCGGCGTCGACGACGCGCTGAACCACTTCAAGAAGCACGCCAAGGAGTGGGCCCGCGGGCCCAAGCTCGCGCCGCACCGCGCGGCCGCGCCGCCGCCGCGCAACGCGGCGCCGCGCGTCGCGGCGGCGCCGCCGCCGCTTGCGGCGCCGCCGCAGCGCGCGCCGCCGCCCATGATGCCCCCGGCGGCGCCCTGGCAGAACCCCGTCGCCGCCGGCGGGCCGGGCTGGGGCGCGCCGCCGCCGGGGCCGGGCTGGGGCGCGCCGCCGGGGCCCCAGCCGGGCTGGGGGCCGCCGCCCGGCGGCCAGCAGCCGGGCTGGGGCGCGCCGCCGCCGGGGCCCCAGCCGGGCTGGGGCGCGCCGCCGCCCCAGATGGCGCCCCAGATGATGGCGCCGCCCCAGCCCGCCGGCGGCGGCCGCGGCCGCGGCCGCCTCGTCCCGGCCTGGATGGCCAAGCAGCAGGCCGAGCAGCAGGGCAACTAGAGCGACGACACGGACCCGTTCCCCCACACACACGCCCCCCGTACCCTAAAAGTCCGTCGTCGTCACCTTCTCTATGGCCGTCTCACATCATTGGAGCAGCTATGTAGGTGTGCCTGGCTCCTCGCCGAGGAGCTCCTCGGCGGTTCCTACTCTTCTTATCCGGCGTCGCGCGCGAGTCCGGCGTCGATGCACGGCTGGGCGCAGCCGTTGTCCCTCCAGAGGCACTGGTCTTCCTCGAAGTTCCGCGGGTCCGCCGCGCAGGGATCGGCGACGGCGCGCTTGAGCCGGCGGTACTCGGCGAGCTCGCGTTCCAGCGGCCGGACGTCGCGTCGCACGCGGGCCGACGCGTTGCGCCAGAGCGCGTAGTCGGCGGCCACGCGCGCCTCGAAGCCGGTCTTCTCGGCCCACTCGCGGACGCGCGCGATCTGCGACGCGTCCGCGTGGACGACCGCGTCGCCGGTCTTGGGGTCCCGGGCCCCGGCGACGCTGGAGTTCTTCGCGCTCACCGAGAGCACGTCGCCGAGCGGCACGCCCAGGCGCGTCGCCAGCAGCACCATCGTCTCGTCGAAGAGCTCCGTGGTCCCGACGAGGTCGTAGGCGTCCAGGAGCTCGTCGACGTCGCCGGGCCGCGGCGCGGATGCTCCGTCCGTTCGCACGTTCCACCAGAGAACATTCTTCTCGGATTTGAGGTACCTCCGGACCCGGGCGATGACTTTCGCGTCGGAGTCCTTTTCGTGTCTCGTGACTTCGAAGTGGAAGAACTGGGAAACGCTCCGCGCGAGCGGCTCGCGCACGACCGTCCAGAGGAACGCGCGCCAGGTGCCGGCGGTGCCGCCATGCTGGAATTCATGAATCCACTTCACGAGTGACTCATGATTCGCATAGACCGCCGGACTCGTCGTCGTCCCTTTCCGGTAACCTCCATTGTGCTGGGAAGCGAAGCCGACGTGGCCGTGTCGCGAAGCGACGCGCCGCGCGACGCCGCCGGCGGTGCTGCTCGAGCACTTCGGGATCTTGATGAAGATGATCGACGTCTCCGAGACGTTCGCCGGTCTCGTGTCGTAGCGCGGGCCGAGGCCCGACGGCCGCTCGGGCCGCGCGAGCGGCTGGCAGCACTTCTTCTCGTAGCATGGGGCTTTCCATACGCAATCCGCCTCGCGATCACATTTCGTTTTTTTGTTGGGACACGACACCTGCGCTTGCGCGCCGCTGCCGAGGAACGTGTCGATGCCGGCGTCGACGGCCGTCGCGTCGAGCGGCGTCGCCGGAAGTCCGCGGCACGCGCCCCGCGCCGACAGGGCGCACGCGAATTGGACCATGTTGCTGCACCGCCCGGGATTCTTCTCGGCGTGGTCCGCGCCCATCGCCAGGATCCGTCGCGGCGCCCAGGGGGTCCCGCAGTGCTCGGGCCCGAGGAGCAGGTCCGCGGTCGCCATGCAGTGGAGCGCGACGAGCGGGTGGCCCGCGCCGTGGAAACTCACGTCGAAGTCGTTTTCGAGGCCGGCCGTGCGGCCGTCGACGAGGCGCGACGCGTCGTCGCGCCGCGCGCCGCCGACGTGTATCCGGACGTCAAGGCCCTCGAGGGTCGCGGCGACGGTCTCCGGCGGCGAGTCGCTCAGGATGAGCGCGCGGACGCGGCGCGCTGGGAGCCGCGCTCGCAACGCCGCGACGACGCGGAGCGCGTTCCGCAGGCGCGCGCCCGCCACCCTCATCTCGAGGAGGGACACCTCGGCGGAGGCGTTCACGGACAGATTGGGGTGGAGCAGGTCGCCGAGGCGCACGTGGACGACGACGCGGAGCTCGCCGTCGGCCGCGCCGCAGTCGACCAAGGCGTCGCGGTCGACGGCCGCGTAGGCCTCGGCGGCCGCGCGGCGCTTCCGCGCGGCGTCGGTCGCCGGCGGGAACGCGTCGAAGCCGAACCACTCGTCGAGCGGCGGCGTGAGGAAGCACTCGAAGTGGCCGCGGAACAACGCGTCGCCCGCGGGCCAGCGGGCCGCGATCTCGTCCTGCGAAGGGTTTCCGTGCGCATGGAGCCAATCTCGTTCGTGGCAGTAGAGCGACGGCGCGAAGCCATCGCCAAGGCCGTCGACGTCGCGCAGGTAGGCGGCCCCCTCGCCCACGTACTCCTGGAAGTAGTGGGGGGCCGGGCCCGGGCCGTGGCGATCGGCGATCAACCCGACGATTCTGTGTCCGACGTGGCCGAGGCCGTCCAGTCCGCTGTCGGGTCTATCAACTTTTCTCACGCAGTCTGTCGGGAAATAGGGCCAGAATCGTTCGTACATGTAGATAGGTTCGCGCTTGCAGACGTGCTTCGACAGGAGGGCAAAGTCGGGCGAGATCGCCGGCGCCGCCAGCGCGAGGCGCCACCATGACGTGTTCGTCGTCGCCACGCCGGAGATCGCGGGCCCCACCGCCTGCGTCGACGCCACGCCGGAGATCGCGAGCGCCGCCGCCATGATCATGGCGACCCGGGTTGCCAGCCGCATCCTCGAGGCCTCAGTGGCATTTCATGCTGATCGCTAACTACGCCTTCCAGGGGCGTTCGCGGAGCCTTCGCGGGGTACCTCGGCGAACCGAGCTAGCCGGCGGCGCGAGGCCTGCGACCCAGCGTCAGTATCTCCTCAAGACCGGCTCAGGAGTTCACCGAAGCCCCGTCCTAATAGCTCGTCGTCGTCGTCCTTAAATGCGGATGGTTGGCAGGTACTCGGGGTCGCGATCGGAGCGCCAGTACCTTATGACGTGCGTGAACACGTCTTCGGGAACGTGCACGAAGAGGCGCTCGTGGAGGCGGTCGCTCGAAGGTGCGAGCGCGCGGCCGCGTTCGCGCAGCGACGGGAGTGCTCTGCGAAATTTCAGGAGCTGAGCGCGGGGCACGTCTGCGTACGGCCGCCAGCCGCCCGCCGCGCGGACCTCGGCGAGAAGCGCAGCCACCACCGTGTTGCCTCTTCTATTCGCCGTGGCCTCGGGGTCTTCCCCGTGGAAGAGATCCCGCGCGTCAAGTGACGCGCCGCGGCTTAGGTAAAGCCGCGCCAATGGCAGCCCAACGGCAGTGACCCCCATCATGGCAGCCCAAATGAGCGGCGTGCGCTCGGCGTGATCACGCGCGTCGACTTGCGCGCCTCCATAGAGAAGGAGCGCCGCTACATAGCTGTTCGGCGTTTGACGCAGGAGCGTAGAACGCCGCCCCGAAATGGTTTCGACTGTTTCCGCGTTGGTATCAGCGCCTTGTTCGATGAGCCACTTGATTACCGAGAGCCATGCGTGTTGGAGCGCAAACTCCAGAGGAGTGAACATCGCGCCAGCATGACCAAGTCCCGGAGCGCCCCGATGCAGCCCCTCGTCGAAATTGTAGCGCGTCGCGAAGCTGCGGGGAGCGCCGCCGTCAGGAGCCCACGGTGCGTACCAATGTTTCACGGCGCACAGGAATGTCTCCTCTCTTTTTGGGGGTTTGTACACGCCCATTGGGGGGCGCATTGCTAGCGTAGCGGCACCCCAATAGTGAGCAGCCATTGCGGCGCCGCGATCTTGAACCGATAATGAATTCACGATGCAGGGCGTGCGCTGAGCTCTCGATGGGCAGCCTCCGCTGAGCTCTCGCTGGGCAGCCTCCACAGTCGAGCCATGCGCCTCCCACCGCGACGGTGACCCGCGGCGCGACGCCGCGAAGCACCCCAAGAAATGCCGTCGCCGTCCGCGGCGCCGCGGCGCTCGCTGACCTTGGGCCACGGATCGACGCGCCGCGACCTGCGGGCGCCGTCGCACCAGCCCGGCGGCCGGCGGTCCAAGGTTTCCGGCGAGCCCCCGGCCCGCGGTCGGGTCGCCAGCGTCAGCCCGCTGCCGCCGCTGGCGCCCTTCGGGTCCGTATTTTCGAACAGAGAAGCGTACGCGGGGCCCACGGACGAGAGCAACTGGGTCGTGCCGGGGCGGGTCATGGCCGGCGCGTACCCCGGCTACGACGACGACGGCCTCAACTACAAGAGCCTCTTCCGCCTGCTCGAGGCCGGCGTGACCTGCTTCGTGTGCCTGCAGCTCGAGTACGACCCGGACGCGCGCGAGGACGCGTGGCGCCGCGGCGACGCGATCCGGCCCTACTTCCACGACGCGGCGAAGATCGCGCGCGACGCGCGGCGGCCGCTGGACTTCGTGCACGTGGGCATCGAGGACTGCGCCGTCGTCGACGACGCCAAATTGAACGATTTGGCCGCGCGGCTCGCGCGGCGGCTGCTCGGCGACGCGGGCGAGGTGCTCGACCGCGTGGCACTCAAATCTTCGACCCGACTTCAATGTGCGCGTAATCGAACGGATCGCGCCGGACTCTTCAGCCGTGCTTCGAGAACTCGACGAGAGCGATCGATTCGTCCAAAAATCAGCCGCGTCGACTTCGAATCGACCGAGCTCGAGCACTTCCAAGTTTGGTCGGGACGTCCCAAGCCGGTGGTCGATGTCCACGCAGGTGCTCTACGTGCACTGCTGGGGCGGCCACGGCCGCGCGGGCAGCGTGGTCTGCCTGCTCCTCCACCGCCTCTACGGCCTCGACGCGGCGTCGGCGCTGTTCCGCTGCCAGTTCGTCCACGACTGCCGGCGGCTGCCCATCGTCGTCGGGAGCCCGCAGACGACGGCGCAGCGGGACCAGGTCGCGCGCGTCATCGGCGCGCTCATCGCGGAGGACCGCGCGGCCGCGGCGCGCGCGGCCGACGACGCGGCGCGCCACCTCCGGGAGGACGCCGTCGTCGCCGCGGACGCCGTCGAGGAGCTCGCGGCCGACGGCCTCGCGCTCGAGGACTTCGACGAGGCCGGCGCGCCGGAGGCGGACGGGCGGCCCCCGCGGAGCTTCGGCGGCGCGCCGCGGCGGCCGGGGCCCCAGCGCGCGGGCGCGCGGCCCGCGAGCCGCCTGGGCCCCATCGCGGGGCGCCGCGCGTCCCGCGACGTCGCGGACGTCGCCGGGGACGGCGGGCTTTCGTGCCTCGACGTTAGGACCTAGTGGCCGTGGCGGTGCGGGTCCCAGACCCAGAGGTTGCAGACCCACTTCTGGCCCTTGCGCACGGGCATGCCCGCGTGGAGCGCGAGGTCGTCGGCGTTGCCGTCGGGGAGCATGGAGTAGAAGAGGACCGCGTCGCCGCGCGCGGGGACGACCTGGACGCCCATGCCGTCGTTCGCCTTCGGGAAGGACGTCGCGCCGCCCTCCTCCGGGAGCTGGATGTAGAGCAGCAGCGTCAGGAAGCGCTGCTGGGGCGTGCCGTCGTCGCCGAAGTCGTGGTGCGGCGCGTACTCCTGCGACCGGTCGTAGCGGACGACCTGGAGCTCCTCCGCGTTCTTGCCGGACCGCAGCAGGTCGTGGTCGATGCCCAGCACGTCCCCGAAGCGCTTGTAGATGTTCTCGAGGATGGGCGACGCGGACCGCCGGAGCCAGCCGTTCTCGGACGTCCGCGTCTTCGACGTGAAGCCGCCGCCCTGGCCGACCATCGACTTGCGCACGACCTTCGTCCCGAGCTCGATGATGTGGTCGCACTCGAACTCGCTGAGCATCTCGCGCACGAGGAAGACGCGGGGGCCCGCGGGGGCGTGGCTGAGCACCTGCAGCGACAGCGCGAGGTCGCCGGAGTGCTTCTCGTCGTCGGAGACGTGGTACCTGGGCAGGAAAAGGGTGCGAAATTCCCAACTTCAAAGGCTCCTATCTCGGTCGTTTTCCGCTCGTTTCGGCTGATTTTTGGACGAGCGATCATCTCTCGGAGCGCTCTCGAAGCGTGGGTGCTGTTTCCGAAACGCGCGCGCGCGGAACACTCACGTTGAAGCGACGTTGAATCACCCTTTTGCTGCCCTGCGTGGTACGCGTGCGGACTCGCGACGACGTGCGTCTGCCCGAGAAACTCCGCGGGCCACATGTTGAGCACGGGCTTGGCGCGCGGGTAGTAGGCGAGCCAGGGGATGCCGTTCTCCGCGTCGTAGCGCTCCATGAACGCGACCTCCTCGAGCGACTTTTTGTAGTCTTCCGACGCGACCGTCTCCGCGTCGTCGTCCGCGGGGGGGATGATGTACAGATTCGCGCCGGCCTTCATCGTGAAGCGGGCGATGCGCTGCTTCGTCTTCGGGTGCGTGAAGATGAAGGAGTGGCCGTCGTAGGAGAGCGTCGACGACCGGCCGAGCGCGGGGATCATGCCGCTGTAGACGCCCTCGGGGGACCCGTCGTCCCAGCGCATCTCGAGCGCGTCGCGCCGGAAGTTGCGGAACTTGGCGCCCATGGACACGCCCCGCGCCTTCTTCGACTTCTTCGTGCTCGTCATGTACTTGAGCTCCTGGATGCCCGTGCCCATGAGGTCCTCCAAAGTCGTCGACCCGCCGAGGGACCCCGTGTCGAGGAAGTGGGGGGCGCCCGTGTCGTGGGCACGCAGCGTCTCGCAGTCCGCGTCGGGGTGGACCGACGAGCAGTACTCGAGCGCGAGACCGCACCGCGCGGCCAGCGCCAGGACGGCGAATGCGCGGGCCATATTTTGCGGCAGTGGCAATCGGGCAGTGGTGCACGGGCCCGCCGTGCTGTGATCTTGCCGTGCTGTGCGCGTGCCGCCCTTCGCCTTCTGAACGATGGCAGCGCATCATCTCCTCTGGGCTGCCTCGCTCCACGTCGTCGCGGCGCAGACGTGGCCGATCACGACGCTCGGCAATCACCGCTACAAGTTCACGGTCCCGGCGGCCTCGACCTTCCTCGTCGAGCTGCCCTGGCGCCGCACGGGCAATGACCGGCGTCCTGCGGCCGTGACGATGTTCGTTACCGACGCATTTGGTAGGCAACGACAAGAACATCAGCCTGGGCGCCGTCGCCGTCCTGCCCGCGTCCGCGGACGTCGCGGGCCTCGACGCCGCCGTCGAAAACTGCGCGGTCCTCCGCGCGGACCGCACGAGCGGGCTCGTGGCCGTCGACGGCGCGGCGCTCGCGGCCGGCGCGACGGCCTACGCGTACTACCTCCCGTTCGAGCGCACGGGCGGCGTCTACGGCATGAACGTCGCGTACCTCCGCGCGGCGGACCTGCCGGCGCCGGACGCGGCGTGGCTCGCGGCGGCGCGCGCCGCGCCCGCGCTCCCGACCGCGTCGTCGCCGACCTACGAGGCCCGCACGGCCTTCGACGCCTTCGACGACATGGAGCGCACCGCGAGCCGGGGCGAGGTCGCGGCCCTCGTCGCCGCGCATTCGGACCCGTTCCTCCTCTTCCCGGAGCCGCGGTCGCGGCCGATCCGCATGGTCTTCCACCCCGCGGACGCGGCCGATCCCCTGCCGGACCTGCCCGCGTCCTGGGCGACCGCCGGCCCCGGGGACACGCTCGACGCGGGCGCGTTCAAGCGCGGCGAGTACGGCGTGTTCCAGATCGGCGTCTTCGCTTCCCTGAAAAACGCGACGAACGTGACGTACGCCGCGCGCGGCTTTCCCTACGCCGTCAACTGCTTCAACGTCGAGGGCGTCGACGACGCGGGCCGGCCCTTCGCGCGCACCTATGCCGTGCCGCACCTGCAGGTCGGGGCGCTCTGGTTCGGGATGCAGGTGCCCGCGGACGCGCCGTTCGGCGCCGGCGGCGGCGCCGTCGACGTCCTCGTGGCGGGCGACGTCGTCGGATCCGTCGAGGTGTCGTTCCGTGTCAACGGCACCGCTCCGGACGGCGGCGACGGCGACTTGCGGACCCTGTCGCGGTCGCGGTGGCTCGACAGCCGCGTGGGGCAGACGAATACGACGGCCGAGCGCCACACGCCCGTCGTCGTCGACAAGGAGCGACGGACGCTCGAGACCTGGGCGGCGCGCGTCGTCCTGGGCGCCGACGGCCTGCCGACGGCGATCGCCCGCAAGGGCAAGAACATGCTCGCCGGCGCCGTCTCCCTCCTCGACGCGACGGCGTGCGAGCCGCTCGCGTGGACGACACTGACGGACGACCTCGTCGCCTGGACCGCCGCGTGCGCCGAACAGACCGTCGCCGCGTCTCTGGATGCCGACGGCACGCTCCTCTTCGACGTCCGCGTCGAGAGCGCTCGCGCGGACGACGTCGCGCTCACGGTCCCGCTGAACGCGACGCTGGCAAAATACTCAATGGGTCTGGGGGTTCCCGGCGGGACGCGGCGCGACATGGCGTGGCGCTGGCGCGCGGGCCCCGTCGACGCGACGCCGAGCGGCTACGCCAATTACCTCGTCTGGCTCGGGAACGTCGACCTCGGGCTCCGCGTCAAGCTTCTGGGACAGGAGGACTCGTGGCTCGGCGCGCTGCATTCCATCGTGAGTGACGATCAGGTGCCGACGGACAGCTGGGCCGGCGTCCCCGCGGCCGGCGGACCTGCGGGCCTGCGCCCCGACGGCGTCACGCCGCTCGTCTGCGACGGGAACTGCACGCGCTTTACGGGGGGCGTCAACGTCTCCGAGGCGGCGCCGGGCGTCGTCGACGTCGTCGCGTTCCGCGGCGCGCCCCTCGCGGCACCGGCCTCGTTCCGATTCGAGCTGGCCATCTCGCCGACGAACGCGCTGGACACGGCGGCGCACTTCGGCGACCTTGGCCGTCGTGCCCAGCGTCCCGCGGCTGAGATGGGTGTCGAGAGCTTTTGACCGGGGAGAACGAAGAACATGTGTCACCGGCACACGTTTGTAGGGCACTACCAGTGGTCGGCGTTCGCGCCTCCGAACGCGACGGAGCTCTTCGACGCGGGCGTCCGCGTGTTGAACGTCCACCAGGGCGTCGACGTCGTCAACCCCTACATCAACTACCCCTTCGAGCCGGAGAGCGTCGCGCCGCTGTCGACCATCGCGGACGCCATGCACGCGCGCGGGGGGCGGGTGAAGCTCTACTACACGACGCGCGAGCTCAGCGACCACGCGGAGATCATCTGGCTCCTCAAGGCGCTCGGCGACGAGGTGCTCGACGGGGACGGGGGCGTCGCGGGTTTTCGGAACACGGCGGAGAAGGTCGGCGGCGCGAGCTGGCTCCAGGAGCACCTGCACAGCGGCTACTCGGTGTGCTGGTCGACGCCAGGGCAGCGCAAGAGAGCGAAATTCCCAACTTCAAAGGCTCCGATCTCGGCCATTTTCCACTCGTTTCGGCTGGCTTTTGGACGAGCGATCATCTCTCGGAACGGTCTCGAAGCGTGGATGTGTTTTCCGTAACGCGCGCGCGCGCGGAACACTCACGTTGAAGCGACGTTGAATCTCTCTCTCTTGTCCTGCCCAGGTCGACGCCGCCCGCGAACCTGACGTCGACGGAGCTGCTCGACGCCGCGGTCTGCGACTCGCAGACGCGCGACCCGCACCAGCGCTGGTCCAACTTCTACGTCGAGGGCCTGCGCTGGCTCGTGGAGGAGAAACCCCGCGTCGACGGCCTCTACCTCGACGGCGTCGCGTACGACCGCCTCACGCTCAAGCGCGCGCGGAAGCTCATGGACGACGCGAAGCCGGGCTGCCTCGTCGATCTCCACTCCGGCAACAACCTGGACCTTCGGTGCGTGGCCTCTCCCGCGGCACCCCTACGTCGAGAGGCGCGCGCAGGTACGGAGACGTCTCCCCGGCTTTGCAGTACATGCACCTGTTCCCCTACATGGACTCGCTGATGCTCGGCGAGGGCTACGCGCCGGGCTACGACCGGCCGGCGGGCGTCCCGGGCGGCGGGCCCGACTGGTGGCTCGTGGAGGTCAGCGGCATCCCCTTTGGGCTCATGAACGACATGCTCGGCGCGTCGGCGTCGCAGCTCTGGCGCGGCTTCGTCTTCGGGTCCGTCACGCGCCTCCCCTACAGCAGCCTCGCGTCGAACCAGCAGGTCTGGAAGGTCTGGGACGACTACGAGCTCGAGACGGCGGAGATGATCGGCTTCTGGGACGACGCGGGCCCGGCCGTATCGCCCGCCGCGGGCTGCGGCGGCGGCGGCGCGCTCGCGGCGACGGCCTACGTCCACGCGGGGAACGTGACCCTCGTCGCCGTCGCGTCCTGGGCCAACGCCACGCTCACCTGCGACCTGGTCGTCGACGTCGCGCGCCTCGGCCTCGACCGCGTGACCGTCGCGGTCGCGCCGGCCATCCCCGCGGCGCCCGTGCCCGGCTTCTCCTTCCAGGCCGCGGCGACCTACGCGGTCCACGACGGGAAGGTCCGCGGCGTCACGGTCCCGCCCCAGCGCGCCATCCTCATCGAGCTCCGCAATTGAGACGCGCACGTATTGCTCTTGTACATAGAGGGGTAGGATTTTGACTCAAAATTTGAGCGATTTTGCCTTGCGGATCGAGGCTCAAGGAGCGACGCCCTCGCCCCGTAAAGCACGCGCGCCGAGTCATGTCGTGGCAGGAGAAGAAGTTGGAGTATGAGAATCGCATGGCCCGAGCGAGGGGCAAAAAACTCGACACTCTCAAGACCTGCACGATCTGCGGCGCCGACAAGGCCAAGGCTTGCGCAGGTTGCGGCACGACGGCCTACTGTTCGACGGACTGCCAACGCATCGACTGGCGCGACCGGGGCCACCGGAAGGTCTGCAAGAAGGTCCAGGCCGCGGAGGCGGCGCGGGCGGAAGCGCCGACGCCCCCGCCGTCGCCGCCGCGCGAGGTGTTCTACGGCCCCGCGCCGCGGTCGCACGCCGACGAGGTCCGCGCGCGCATCGCCGCGGAACACGAGGCGGCCCGCGCGCGGCGCGAGGCGAACCCGGAGCCCGAGCCCCTGTCGGCGCGGTTTGGGTCGCGGTGCCCGATCTGTCTCGAGGAGTGGGACGTGAATGTTCCGGGCATGTTTCGCGTCTGTTGCTGCCGAAAGGTCTGCCGATCGTGCGAGGACAAGATCGAAGCCGTGTGTCCCCTCTGTCGTGTACCGCGCACGAAAACCAATGCGGAAGCACTCGCGCAACTTCGCCGCCACGTTGAGAACGAGGTGCCAGAAGCAATTACGCATTTGGGAATTGTGTACCGCGAAGGTCGGTGGGGCCTCGTGAAATCCGATAAGAAAGCCGCGAAGATTTGGAAGCGCGCCGTGGAGCTCGGGGACGTGGACGCGATGGTATTTCTTGGGGAAATGTACGAGGATGGGGAAGGCGTCAAGCTGGAGAAAGAGAAGGCGGAGCGGCTGTATCAGGCGGCCGCGGACCGGGGCGACGCGATCGGGCAAAACAATTTGGGGCTTTTACTTTACTCTGAGAAGAAACATGAAGAAGCGTTCCGGTACTTCGTGCTCGCGGCGGATCAAAGCTATACCACTGCAGAGACCAACCTTGGCGGCCGGTACTTGGACGGAAAAGGCACGGAAGTCGACCTCGGCAAAGCCAGATACTGGCTCGAGCGCGCCGCTGCCAAGGGCTACGAGAGAGCTATAGAGGACCTCGCGCGCCTCGACGCGCGAGATATTGCCTAAGTCTTTGCGCCGCGTCGTCGCCCGAGCCTCTAGCCCGAGCCCGGGATGCTGCGCTTGCGCGCGGGCGAGTCGTGCTTGGCGCTGCCGCGTTCCTCTCCGCGCCTGCCTAAGTCTTTGCGCCGCGTCGTCGCCCGAGCCTCTAGCCCGAGCCCGGGATGCTGCGCTTGCGCGCGGGCGAGTCGTGCTTGGCGCTGCCGCGTTCCTCTCCGCGCCGACCTTCGCGGTCTGGTGCTTCGCGTTCCTGAACCCCAAGCCCGCCGGGCGCAAGGCGACGACGCCGCCGAGGGGGGCATGGAGAACGGCATGAACGCGATGCGCTAGGGGTGGGCTTGGGCGGTAGTTTTGAGCGATTTTGCCATTGTCGCCCAGCTTTGAGGCGACGCCATCGCGAGGAGAGCAGACGCACGATCATGAAGGCCGAGTACGTCGAGAAGCAGCGCGAATACGAAGAGAAGAAGGCGCGGGCGAAAGCGCTACAGCTGCGTTTGACGTGCACGATTTGTGGGGCGAAACCGAGAACCTTGCTGAACTGTCCGTGCGGAACTACGCAGTATTGTTCGACTGAATGCCAACGCATCGACTGGCGCGACCGGGGTCACCGAAAGGCGTGCAAGAAGATCCGAAGCGAGCGCGCGGCGGAGGAGGCACGGGCCGAGGCGCCGACGCCCCCCCCGAAGCCCGTCTTCTACGGCCCCGCGCCGCGGTCGCACGCCGACGAGATCCGCGCGCGCATCGCGGCGGAGCACGAAGCGGCGCGGGCGCGGCGCGAGGCGAACCCGGAGCCTGAGCCGGCGTCGGCGCGGTACGGGTCGCGGTGCCCGATCTGCCTCGAGGAGTGGGACGTGAATGCTGCGGGCGTGCTTCTCGTCTGTTGCTGCAGGACGGTCTGCCAATCGTGCGAGGACAAGATCGGACTCGAGGCGTGTGCTCTCTGTCGCATGCCGCGCGCAAAAAGCAATGCGGAGCAGCTCGCGCGTCTTCGCCGCCATGTGGAGAACGAGGTGCCTGAAGCAATTACGTTTTTGGGAGCCGCGTACAGCCGCGGTCGGATGGGCCTCGTGAAATCCGATAAGAAAGCCGCGAAAATTTACCGTCGCGCCGCGGAGCTCGGCGACGTGGAAGCGATGGTAGCTCTTGCGGAATTGCATAAGACTGGAAGTGGCGTCAAGCTGGACAATAAGAAGGCGATGAAACTGTGTCGCATGGCCGCAGATCGGGGCGACGCGGTCGCACAAAACAATGTAGCGTTTTTACTTGATTCTGAGACGAAATTTGAAGAGGCGTTCCGGTACTTCGCGCTCGCGGCGGATCAAGGCTATACCGCTGGAGAGCTCAACCTAGGCTTTTGTTACAGGGGCGGAGAAGGCACGGAAGTCGACCTCGGCAAAGCCAGATACTGGTTTGAGCGCGCCGCTGCCAAGGGCGACGAGACAGCTATAAACGCCCTCGCGGACCTCGACGCGCGAAATATAGCCTAAGTATTTACGCCGCGTCGTCGCCCGAGCCCGGGATGCTGCGCTTGCGCGCGGGCGAGTCGCGCTCGCCTTGGCGTCGTCGTGGCCCGCGAACATGAATTAAGAAATGTTAACGCTCGTGAGAAGGACACGGATCGGAGGGCGGACGACGTGGGGTCGAGGCTCGAGGCGGCCTGAACAGACCCGGAAAGGAAAGGAAAGGAAGCTTGCCGTCGCGCTCGGGACCGGAGGACGGGCGACGTAGGGTCGACGTCGGGGCGGTCCGAGCAGACTCGGGAAAGAAGCGGAGCGGCGTTGGACAACAAGGACGAGAGACCTCGGGGCGGAACGCCGCCGCGCGGGGAGGACGCTCACGCGGGGTGCACGAGCGCGTCGCGCGGCGAGCCGCGGGGCCGCGGCGCGCGCGCGCGGGCGACGCCGAGGTCGCCTGGGCGCATGAGGAGGAACTCGAGGAGGTAGAGCGCGATGTCCCTCGGGAGGAGCGAGAGCACGGAGCCGGTGTCGGCGCGGCCGATCTCGACGAGCCGCAGGCGCGCGTAGAGCCGGGGCCAGCGGTCGTCGAAGATGCCGAGGCCGCGGAGCGCGCGGCGCTCGCGCTTGCCCCGGAGGAAGGTCTCGAGGGCCGCCGTGCCCCGCAGCGACGCCTTGGACGCGGAGTACTCGAGGTGCGCCTCGTGGAGCCGCGCCTCCGCCGCGAGGCGCCGGGCGTCGTCGCGCGCGCGCGCGCCCGCCGCGGACGCGCGGAGTTCGGCCTTGGCCTCGCGGAAGCGCTGCCGCGCGTTCATGGCCACGAGCACGGCGGACCGCGCGTCCTCGTAGGCCCGCGCGTCGACCGTCGCCGCCTTGACGATAAAGGACGTCGCCGACGTGTACTGGAGCCGCCCCGCGGCCTCGAGCTCGTCGCGGTCGCGCGGGCCGGGCGCCCAGCCGGGCCACCGCGGTCGGGCGCCGTCGTCGCCCGCGGGCTCCTTGACGCAGATGAGCCAGAGCCGCTCGAAGGGCAGGGGCACCTGGGACGCGAGCGCGAGCACGTCCGACGGCTCCGGCCGGAGGCTCGACGTGTAGACGCACCACCGCGACAGCGTGCCGTCCGCGCCGACGTCGAGCTGGCCGCCCGCGACGCGGCGCGCGCGCGACATCGCGTCGAGCGCCGCCGCGCCCGCCTGCCCCTCGCCCAGGGCGTCGGGCGGGGGCAGGCCCACGAGGTGGTGCCAGCACTCGCCGCAGCCGAAGATGGAGCCCGCGGCGAGCGGCGTCGCGGCGCGGACGACGGCGGCCGCGCGCTCCGTCTCTCCGGGCGCGCGCGCGAAGACGTGCGTCGTCGTCGGCAGGCGCGCGCCGCCGGAGGCCATCTGGGTCACGTAGGGCGCCTCGAGGCGCGGGATGTGCTCGACGCCGGGCAGGGGCCGGTAGACGGACCCCTCGAGCGCGCCGGACGCGGCGACGTAGCGGAGGAGGAAGACGTCCGCGGCGCCGCGCGCGATGACCCAGGGGTAGGCCCGGGGCTCGTCGCGCGCGTCCCGCGGCGTGCCGCGGGACCGCGCGCTCTCGATCTCGAGGCGGTCCATGGCGTCGCCGATGTTCTCGATCGCGGGGCGCGGCGGCAGGAGCAGCGCCTCGAGGTGCGTCCGCGACCGCCGCGCGGGCCGGTCGTCGCCGCCGCGCGGCGTCCGCGGCGACTCGGCGTAGTAGCCCCGGGGCGTCCGGGGGCTCGCGTCGCCGTCGAAGGACACGCGCGGCGACCGCCGCGGCGACGGCGCGCCGCCGTCGAAGGACACGCGCGGCGACCGGCGCCGCGCGCCGCGCGCCGCGGCGTCGCTCAGCGCCACGGCCTCGCGGAGCTGGGCGTCGCTGAGCACGTTGCCGACGAGGGCGACGCGCGCGGCGCCGCCCGCGCCGCCGAAGCGGAGCGCGTGGACGACGACGGACGCGAACTCGCCGCCGCCGGGCCGCCGGAGCCAGAGCGTGAAGGGCCGCGGCGCGCGCGCGGCCTCGACGACGCGCCGGATCTCGCGCCGCGCGTGGCCCAGGTCGCCCGCGGACCGGAACTCGAGGTCGTCGAGCGCCGCGCCGCGCCGCACGGCCGCGGCGGACCGCGCGCCGCGCGACGCGAACGCGACGCGGCCCGCGCCGTCGAGGCCCAGCGCGAAGAGCGGCAGCGCCTCGAGGTCGCGCACGGGCAGCCCCAGGTAGCCCTGGAGCAGGGTTTCGCTCGCCTGGGCGTCGCCCGCGAACTCGCCGACGTCGACCTCGATGCCCGCCTCGTCCGCGTCCGCGGCGTCGGCGCCGGCGCCGGCGCCGTAGTCGACGAAGGTCGGCATGGCCGCGCGGCCCGTCGCCGCACCGAGGAGCCAGCGCGGCACGGCGCCCGCGTCGGGCCCGCCGAGGTCCACGGCCCGCAGCGGGTTCCGCGGGCTCCGCGCGCGGCCCCGGCGCTCCGCGGCCTCGAACTGGAGGCGGCACTCCTCGAAGATGCGCCCCAGCGCCGCCACGAGGCGCGCGGCGAGCACGCGGTCGTCGCCCCGGTCGAAGACGCCCGCGAGGGGCGGCAGCAGGTGCTTCGTCGTCACGCGGGGCCCCACGCCGGGCGACGCCGGGTCCTCGTGGCACCGAAACCGCACGTTCCGCGGCCCGGGCCGCCAGCCCGCGCCGCCGCGGCCGTACTTGGGGCTGAGCGCGGCGCAGAGCTCGAGGCGGCTCCAGGCCCGCGCGAGGTAGCTGTGGAGCGTGCCCGGCAGCGCCCCCGGCGGCTCCGCGCCGTGACCGTAGAGGCGGCTCCAGGCCGCCGGCGACCGCACGAGGGGCACGAAGCGCGAGCACAAATTCGCGTAGCAGCAGAGCGACGCCAGGGCCCGCCGCCGCTTCGCGCCCGGCTCCTGGGGCACGCACAGGTAGTCGAGCCAGATCCAGACCTCCGCGTGGCCCACGCCGACGTGGCGGTCGAGCGACTGGAGCCAGCGGAGCTTCGTATTGGCGTGGTTGTCCGGGTGGTCCGCGCCCTCCCACTCGTGGCTCACGAAGAAGGACGCGGCGCTGTGGGGGCTCCGCGACGTCGCCGTGAGCTCCTCGAGGAGGCCGAGGCGCTTCGCGCGGCCGTGGCTCACGAGGCGCCCGAGCGTCCGGAGCCGCGACAGCGACACGACGTAGCAGGGGTAGTGGGCGACGAGGGGGCTGATGCGCAGCTCCGCGGACCCGAAGAGCCGCGGCTCGACGCGCTCGTAGAGGCGGCCCGCGCCCGCCGCGACGGGGCTCGCGCAGACGCGGAGCGTCTTCGTCCGCAGCGCGCGCGCGGCCGCGCGCAGCCCCCCGCGCGGCGGCGCCGGCTCCGGCGCCGCGATCTCGAGGGCCTCGTAGGGCCGCCGCGCGAGCCAGGCCATGTCGCCGTCGACGTCCTTGGGCGGGGGCGTCGCGACGCGCGACGAGCCCGGCGGCGTCGGCTCGCCGCAGCTGCTCGGCGCCGTGGGCAGCCGCGCCGTCGAGCTCGGCGACGCCTCGAAGGAGCCCGCGGACCGCGGCGACGGGTCGTCGGCGAGCTCGACGATGCCCAGGCGCCCCTCGAGCGCCGCGAACGGCCGCGCGCGCGGCCGCCGCGGCGACGGCGCGCCGCGCGGCGACGACCCGCGCGACTCCGGCGCCGGCGCGCCGCCCCGGCGCTCCGCCAGGAGCCGGTCGATGATGTCGTTCTGCATCATGCGGTCGTAGTCGAGCTCGCACTCGCGGAAGGACGCCTCGAACGCGTCCGCCTCCACGCGCCGCTTCCGCTGCTCCTCGAGGTAGCGCGACAGCGACAGGCCCGCGAGCACGGCCAGGTTCGCCACGAGCGCCACGAAGCCGAGCAGGACCCGCGGCACGTCCAAGAACCGCGTCGAGCACAAAAACAAAATCAGGAAGGAGCACGCGACCTGCCACGCGCCCGCGACGCCGAGCGCGTTCGAGCCCGGGTCCGCGTACGGCGCGGCCATCTCCATGAGCAACAGAAACGCGAGCGCGATGGCCAGGCCCGCGAAGCAGCGCGTCGCGTCGGACCCCGCGAAGACGACGCCGCCCGTGAGCAGCACGCGGCGGCCCATGTCGACGCACTCCCAGTAGTACGTCGGCGGCCGGTAGGACGCCCAGAGGAACGCGGACGCGGCGAGGTCCGCGTCGTTGGACCGCGCGCGGCTCAGCGCGTCGGCCTCGAGGGCGTCCGCCGCGTAGGCCGTCGGGTCCAGCGCCCGGCGCCGCCGCCGGAGGTAGACGAAGATGGACAGGGGCACGCCCACGGGCCAGAGCGCGACGACGATGGCCGCGAAGAGGCGGAAGAGGCCGTAGCGCCGGCCGCGGCAGGACACGCCGTAGTCCGCCTCGAGGACCCGGATGCCCCCGTCGAAGTCGCGGCAGGGGAAGGTCCGGAACGCGGGCGTCGACACCGTGGGCAGCGTCGCGAACGTCACGAGGAGCACGAGCGACGCGAGGCGCCGCCGCTGGTCGCCGCCCAGGGGCAGCACGCGGCCCGCGAGCAACAGGAGCGCCAGCCCGAACGACGGCGCCACGGCCGCGAGGACCATGCGGTCCAGCGCGTCGAAGTCGAGCGTGCACGCGAACGACGTCATCGCGGCGACGTCGAGCTCGACGACGGACAGCACCGCGTTCGAGTACGCAAAGGGCGGCGGGTAGGCCGTGTTCGTCGCCCAGTCGCTCTGGCTCACGATCTGGTACGTCGCCCAGACGATCTTGAGCCACGACGTCGGCGCGGCCCAGTCGCCCGCGAAGCGCGGCGCGACGAGGCCCCTCACGCGCCTCCTCGCGGACTCGAGGCCCGTGGCCACGTAGGCGCGCCCCGCGAGGGCCGCGGCAACCACGAGAAAACCGACGAGGCACGCCGCCGCCGCCGTCGGCAGCGGGCCCGGGCACCGCGCGCAGTCGAGCGCGCCGACAGTCGTCCGCCAGGGCACGGCGTGGAAGCCGTCGCCGCACGCGTTGCAGAGGGGGCCGAGGTAGCCCTCGGCGCACGCGCCGCCGCCGACGCAGGACCGCCGCCGGAAGCAGGCCTCGACGCGGTCCGAGCGTTCGCCGCTGCGCCAGTAGCCCCGCGTGATCTCCAGCGTCCCGACCGTCGCGCCGACGGCGCAGCGCGCGCCCCGGGGGCAGTCGAGGCAGCCGCCGCCGGCCCAGTACTCGCCCGCCGTGCAGGGCTCGCAGTAGAGCGTGCCCCGGCGCGACGACTCCCGGTAGCCCTCGGGGCAGTCGCGCGACACGGCCAGTTGGAAGCTCGACGACTCCGTGATGTCGGATCCGAGCGCGGGCGCGGAGAAGACGAGGCGCGCGCGGCCGCCGCCCGGCCCCTGGACGGCGAGGCCCTCGAAGGCCGCGACGCCGCCGGCGGCGAGGTGGACGCGCTCGCTGAGGCGCCAGCCGTCGTCGTCGCCGCGGTCCGTCGCGTTGCCGCCGCGGCCGCTCTCGCGCGCCTCGGGGCTCCGCTCTCGGGGCTCCGCGTCGAGGCGCGCGAAGAGCGACGTCGTGCTGTCGGACGCGACGAGCTGGTCGAAGGCGTCGACGAGGGCGACGGAGAGCGTCGGCTCGAAGGGCACGCCGGACGCGGCGCCGATGCCGCGGCGCGCGACCGCGGGCGCCGGCCCCGCGGAGAGCTCGCCCCCGCTCGACGCCCGGGCCGTGCCCGGGCGGTCCCCGACCGTCGCGGCCCCCGCGTCGACGACGGCCGCGAGCGCGGCGGCGAGGGACGCGCGGCCCGCGGCGGCGTCCGCGGCGCCCGGCGCCCCCCCCGCCGCGGCCCGGAGCGCCTCGAGCTCGTCGGCCGTCGCGGCGACGAGTGCCACGGCCGGCGTCGCGACCTCGGGCCCGTAGGCGGCCTCGTTGCCCGCGTAGGCCGCGCGCGGCAGCGCGGCGGCGAGGTTGTAGGCGGACGCGGCCTCGCGGAAGTAGACCGCGCCGCCGCCGCCGCCCGGCGCAGCGTTGCGCTCGAAGGCCGTGCGCCGGCCGCCGCCGACGGCGACGTCGACGTGGAGCGCCGCGACGCCGTCGACGGCCCGCGGGCCCGCGAGCGCGCGGCGGCCCGCGTCGTCGCGGATCGTCACCGCGTAGGTGCCGCCGAACCAGCCGTCCCCGAAGTCGTCGACGGCGCGGAACGCGTAGCGCCCGGGCGGCAGGCACCGGTCGTAGGCGACGACGGCGCCCGCGCGCGGCGTGAGGCGCTCGACCTCGGCGCCGTCGCGCGACACGGCGACGTAGCGCGAGAAACCGCCGTAGGGATCCGCGAAGCACGCGCAGCCCCGGCACGCCGCGCGCGCGGTCGCGAGGCCGCCGTCGCTCTGGTACCAGTGGGCGTCGAAACGCACGGCGTGGCTCGCGGCGACGTCCTCGAGGAGCCGCGGGTTGCAGCCGTGGGGCCGCCCGTCGCACGTCGTCCCCGCGGCCGCGGCGCCAAGGACGTCGTCCGCGGGCGCGCACGTCGCGGCCGCGGCCGCGAAGTTGATGACGACCGTCGCGGCGGCGCAGGGCGCGTCGAAGGCCGGCGCGGCGCGGTCCGCGAGCGCGAGGCCGCCGCCGGACGCCGCCGCGTTCCCCGCGAAGGTCGTCGCGGCGAACGCGGCGCGCGCCGTCGCGCCGCCGCCGCGCATGGACGCGCCGCCGCCGACGGCCCCCGGCCCCGTCGCCTCGTTGGCCTCCACGCGGCACTCGTCGAGGTCGATGCGCGGCGTCTCCGCCACGAAGAGGCCGCCGCCCTCCTCGACGGCCGCGTTGCGCGCGAGCGTCGCGCGCTCGAGGCGCACGGCCTCGCACGTCGTGAAGGCCGCGCCGCCGCCGCGCCGCGCGGTGTTGTCGGCGACGCGCACGTCGGCGGCGAAGACCGTGGCGAGCGTCGTCGCGGAGACGCCGCCGCCCTCGTCGCCGGCGGCGTTGCCCGTCACGTCCGCCCGCGTGAGCTCGAGCGTCGCGAGCGCCTCGACGTGGACGCAGCCGCCGCGCGCGCCCGCGGCGTTGCCGCGGCACGTCACGGTGTCGAGGTACGCGCGGCCGCCGCGGCCGATGTGCAGCGCGCCGCCGTCGCCGTCCGTGGCCTCGTTGCGCTCGAAGATCCACGACGTGTCCGGCGCGCCGCGGCCGTCGGAGCGGCCGGGCGCGTGCGCCATACCGTCGTAGAACGCGTCGGGGTTCTCCTCGGTCCCGAAGTCCTTGGATCCCGACTCGTACTTCTGATCCATCTCGTCGCCCATCTGGGCGAAGAGGTCGCTCACGATCCAGCGGAGCGCGCCGTCGACGTCGACGAGCGCCGCGAGCGCCGCGAGCGCGCCGGCGACGCCCTCGCAGTCGAGCCCCGCGGTGGCGTTCGCCACGCGGGCGCAGTCCCAGTGTCGCAGCGCCTGGGCGAAGCCGAGCTCCTGCTCGTAGTCGTCGACGAGGTCGGTCCACGCCAAGGACAGCGAGATCTCCTCCGCGTGCGTCCCGGGCCGCAGCACGTCGACGTCCTCCAGGTCCTTGATGCGCGGGGCCCCCCGCCGCGTCTCCAGCTGGACGTAGGGCTTGCCCGCGCCCCAGCCCAGGCCGTGGCCGCCGAAGAAGCCGTAGAGGTAGTCGACGCTGATGTGCGCGTCGATGAGGATGGACATGCGCGCGAGCCTGTTCGTCTTCGCGGCGACGTACGCGCGGACGCCCCGGACGTCGACGAGGGGCTCCAGCGCGCGCGTCGCGTTGTAGACCGTCGCCCAGACGTCGTCGCCGGCCCAGATCTCCTCGCGGAAGTCGAGCCCGACGGTCACGAAGGCGTAGCTCTCGCGGCTCCCGAAGATCGCGCCGTCGACGCCCCGCACCGCGCCGCCGCCGCCGCTCCGCGCGACGTTGCCGACGACCACGGCGCCGATGGGCGAGAAGCTGCCCGACGCGCAGACCGCCGCGGCGTCCACGAGGAAGCCGCCGCCGAAGCCGCGCGGCGCCGCGTTGCCCTCGATGCGCGCGTTGCCGCCCACCTTCACGGGCGTCTGCGCGAAGCAGTAGAAGCCGCCGCCGTCGCCGTCGAGCGCCTGATTGTTCGCGATGAGCGTCGCGAAGAGGGTCACCGCGAGGCCGTGTTCGACGTAGAGCCCGCCGCCGTGCACGCCCGCGACGTTCCCGACGATCTCGCTCCCGATGGCGTCGAAGCCGTCCGAGGACTCGAGGGGCCCGAACTTCCCGGTCCGCGCGTACGCCCGCGTGGAGGCCCCGCGGCCCATGCCGTAGATGCCGCCGCCGCGGCCCGACGCGTAGCAGTCCGAGACCTTGGACCCGAGCATGACCTCCGCGCGCGTGAGGTCGCCGAGCCAGACGCCGCCGCCGTCGCCGCCGTCCGCGGCGCAGCCCTCGACGCGCGCGTGCTGGAGGCTCAGCTCGCCGATGACGGCGAGGCCGCCGCCGTCGGCGCCGGCGACGCAGCCCGCGACGAGGCCGGCGACGACGACGTAGGACGCGGGCCGCTCGCGCGCGCGCGCGCGGGCGCCGCCGCCCGCGCCGTCGCGCGCCGCGAACTCCTCGAGCCGGTTCAGCCCCGCGCCCAGGCCGCCCCCGCGCAGCCCCGCGGAGCAGCCCCGGATCTCCGCGCCGGGCGCGACGTAGACCAGCGAGTCCTCGTAGGCGTAGACGCCGCCCCCGTGGAGCTCCGCGCGGCAGTTGCGGATCGCCGCGCCCGGCCCGAGCCACGCGACGCCCGCGGCGACGTAGACGGCGCCGCCCGTCTCCTCCGCCGCGCAGTCCTCGAAGGTCGTGTCGACGGCGTAGAGGGCGCTCCTATAAACCTGCACGGCGCCGCCCGTGTGGCCCTGGCACCGCCGGAACGTCGCGCCGCGGAGCCTCACGACGCCGGCCATGTTCGCCTCGATCGCGCCCGCGCGCCCGCCCCACAAATCCTCGAACACCGCGGCCCCGTCGACCAAAATCGTCGACCGCGACAGGGTGAACACGCCGCCCGTCAGCGTGAGGCCGAAGCAGCGCCGGAGCGCGCTCGCGCCGAGGATCTCCACGCGCGACTCCGCCGCGGCCCAGTTGCCGCTCCACTCGGGCAGCGCGCCGACGGCGATGGCCCCGCCGCCGGCGGAGGCGCAGTCGACGACCGTGGCGTCGCGGAGCGTCACGTTCGAGCCCCGGTTGACGAAGATGGCGCTGCCCATGAAGGACGCGTAGCACCTCGCGATCGTAGCGTTCGCGACCACAATCTCCGCGGCGTTGGCCCCGATGACGCAGCCGCCGAGCGCGAGGTCCGGGAAGGTCGCGGCGCCGTCGCTGAGCTCGCCGCCGTCGACCTCCAACCGCGCGCCGGGGCCCACGGCGATCAGCCGGCTCCGGCCGCCGCCGCGGACCGCGCCGGCGCCGCGCATGCGGAGGACCACGGTCGCGAGCGTCCGCACGGCCAGCGACCCGCCGGCCAGCTCCACGTCCGCGCGCAGCGTCACGGCCCCGCAGTCGCCCTCGCCGACGCCCTCGAAGGCCGCGCGCAGCCCCGCCTCGTCGAAGACGTCGCCGAAGTCCGCGCGCGCGCCGCACGACCGCGCGGCCGCGGCCGCGGCGAGCGCGTCCTCGTCCGCCGCGCTCGGGCACGCGGCGCAGCCGCTGCAGTCGCAGACGAGCATCTCGTTGAGCCCCGCGAACTTGGAGACGGTGTGAGTCTTGTCGCCGTCGTCGTCGCGGCACGAGTAGCCCGCGAGCCCGACGACGTCCGGGCAACTCGCGCCGGGCCAGACGCAGTCCGCGCGGCAGGTCTCGCTCCAGGCCTCGGAGACGCCCACGGCGCCGACCGGGGCGTCGAGGTCGAGGCCCGCGAAGGTCGCGGGAACGTCGGCCCGCTGGGCCGCGACCCAGTCCGCGAAGCTCGTCGTCGGCGTCCGCGGCCCAGGACGCGTTGGGCGCGTCGCGCCAGCTACCGCCGGCGCGCACGAGCCGCCGCTCGGCCTCGCAGCCCAGGCACGCGAAGCAGGCGCAGCCGTGGTCCTCGGCGGCGACGGCGCAGGTCCGCGGCGTGTCGCAGCTCAGGCCGACGCAGACGTCGTCGCAGGCCGGTTTTGTTGTGGTGTTGTTGTTGTGAAATGTTGGGTCGTGTGATGTTGGGCCGCCGGCGACGGCGGCGACGGCGCCGAGGACCAGGAGCCCGACGCGTGCTGCCCCCCATGGGGCAGCCATGCGCGCCTCGCGGATCGGCAAGGTTTATTGAAGTTCTTTTGAGAGTAACGTGACTTTAACAATAACTACCGGTCCGCGCGACGGCCGATCGGTCATGGTTTCTTTTTAGCCACCGTTGGGGGCAGTTTGGGGGTGGACTTTCGCTCGGCCCGGACGTTAGAACCTCGGAAAACCAGCGCCCCAGCACGCGTCCAAGCCGCCGGGGGGGCGCGGGATGGGGGGGTTACTTCTAGGGGTCACTAAGGGCCCATGAACGCCCCCCACACCGCCGCCGGCCCGCGTGGGCTCATGGTGGGGCTAACCAGCATCACGGTTAATCACGGCCGGGTCGGATCGCGGGTCCTTCGGATCTCGGCAGGGGCTGTGCCTTGCGTCTCGGCCGCCCACCGCAAGCTCTGCCTTCGGGTGTCCGCCCGCGCCCACGATGCCGCGCCTCCCGAAGACGGCGACGTCTATGGAGGACGGCGAGCCGAGCCTGGGCCGCTTCGTCGTCGACGCCAACGCGGGGGGCGAGGGCATGGTCGTCGAGGTCAAGGTCGGCGGCTGGCGCGTGCTCCTGTCCGCCGACGGGTCGCGGTCGTCGAAGCGGAGCGCGGCCCTCGAGTACGTCGCGGACCGGGAGCCGCCGGAGGAGTTGGTGGGGCGGTGCGCCGCGCTCGGCGTCGCGTTCAGCCCCTACGTCGGCGAGCGGCGCGTCGTCGCGCGGACGCGCCGATCCGAGGACGGCGACGCCGCCGCGCCGCGCCCCCCCGCGGGCCGCGAGCACCGGGGCCGGTCGTCGGCCGGCGGCGCGAAGACACCGGCGCCGGCCGTCGGCGAGGTCCTCGGCGCGCTCGACGGCGACGTGTGGCGCCGCGGCGTCGTCGTCGGCGTCGAGAGGGCCATGGATGCGCTGGCGGACCACGTGCTCGTCGTCGACTACGAGGGCGGCGCCGACGTCGTCCGCGAGCCCTGGCCGCCCGCGGGCGAGCGGCGGCTCTACCGCGCCGCGAAGAGCGACCGCGTGCCCCGCGCGCTCGCGAAGCCGCCCAAGGCCCTCGTCGGCTTCGGCTACCGCGCGGCGGACGGGGCTTTGGCCCACGTCGTCGGCTTCCGCCTCCACGACGGCGACGCGCTCCTCGTCGAGCTCCGCGGCGCCGCGCGCCTCGTGCCGCTCGCCGACGTCCGCGCGGCGATGATCGCGGACGAGGAGTCGGTCTTCGGCCGCGTCGCCAAGGCCCAGCGCCGGGCCGCCGCGCCCAAGCTCCCCGCGCGCAAGTCCGACAGCCCGACGCCCAAGCGCAAGCGCGGCGCCGAGCCCGACGACGACTCGGACGCCGACGGCTCGGACGACGCCGCGGACGACGCCGCGCCCGCCGCCGCGCCGGGCCTCCCCATGCACGCGCTCCTCTTCTCCCCCGTCCAGTCCTAGGCCCGACACACCCGCCCCCTTTTGTAACCCCGTGTTGATCTTCACCATGACTTCGGAAGCTTCCAATTCTTGCAGTGATTGGTTCGACCACGATGGAGAGGTCGCCGGAGCAGTCCTCGTCGTAGAGCTCGACGAGCGTCTTCGACGCGGCATGGACGCCGCCGTCGCCGCCGCCGACGCGCTCCTGGCCGACGAGGCGTCGTAGAGCTCGAAGAGCGTCTTCGACGCGGCATGGACGCCGCCGTCGCCGCCGCCGACGCGCTCCTGGCCGACGAGGCGCCGCCGGAGTTGGGCGTCGACGGCCGGCGCTGGCCCGTGTGCCTGCTCATGCTCGCCAT